TTTCTGGCGTGCCCAAGGAACGCAACTCTGCACAGTGAATTGTGGCGCCTTAGACGACTGGGCCACCCGTGCCCCCCCAATCTCAACAGAGACGCTTCTACAAATACATAAAACTTCATGAAAAAAAAGTGAATTCTAAATTTAGCAAACTAATGGTGATGAAGGAGATGAAACAGATTGTGTGTGAGTGGCTTGTTGAAGTGGTCTGGATGGGACCGTATGGGAATGTGAGATGGAGAGAGTTCACAAGGCCACAACAAACGTATTACAATTTGTCACAAGACAGGAACAGACACACCATCTATTCACCTGAAACTAACACTATCTTAACTGTCTGCACGGATGTAAATGTGACACAGCGTCCCTGGGGATCTCCTTGCAGGTCGACAAATCACATTTTTTGGCCAGGGAAACAGTTTTATAAGCAACAACGAATATTCGCCTTACAAGTCATAACACTCCCTCTCCTTGACCCAACGCACACACACACAAAACAAAAAATACAAAAAAACAAATTCACATTCCTTTGGTTTATCTTTGAAGTTATTTTGGTAGATTTGTTGTGGCGGCGGCGCTGGTGGAATGAAAGAGGTAGTGGTAGTGGGGAGGGGGTTGTGGTAGCGGTTATGGGTGTGTGTGTGGGTTTGTTGTTGTGGGGAGGGGGTAGTGGTAGTGGGAGGGGGTAGTTGTTGTGGGGAGGGGTGAGGTAGTGGAGAGGGGGTAGTTGTGGGGAGAGAGTATTGGTGGTGGGGAGGGGGTAGTGGTAGTGGGGGAGTAGTTGTGGGGGAGTAGTTGTTGTGGAGAGGGGTAGTGGTTGTGGTGATGGGTAGTGGTGGTTGTGAGGAAGGGGGTTGTGGTAGTGGGGAGGGGGTAGTTGTGGGGATGGGTTGTGGTTGTGGGGAGGGGGTTGTGGTAGTGGGGAGGGGGTAGTGGTAGTGGGGATGGGTTGTGGTTGTGGGGAGGGGGTAGTGGTAGTGGGGAGGGGGTAGTGGTTGTTGGGAGGGGGTAGTGGTAGTGGGGAGGGGGTAGTGGTTGTGGGGAGGGGGTAGTGGTTGTTGGGAGGGGGTAGTGGTTGTTGGGAGGGGGTAGTGGGGAGGGGGTAGTGGTTGTTGGGAGGGGGTAGTGGTAGTGGGGAGGGGGTAGTGGTTGTTGGGAGGGGGTAGTGGTTGTTGGGAGGGGTAGTGGGGAGGGGGTAGTGGTTGTGGGGATGGGGTAGTTGTTGTGGGGAGGGGTAGTTGTTGTGGGGAGGGGGTTGTGGTAGTGGGGATGGGGTTGTGGTTGTGGGGAGGGGCTAGTGGTTGTGGGGAAATCTTAATCCTTGCTGGTCAGACCTTCATACTGACCACGATTCTTACAATATTAACAAGTCATATTGTAGAACCAACTGCTTACATAGTTTATAGGCCAAACCATTTCTTCCTACTTCTGCTGATGGCCAAGATTTTCCTTCATTCAACATACATCAAGCCACAAAGAGAACATCAGTGCCGCAGCACTGTAGCTCGCCTGGATAAATAGTCAACAGTTGAACAACAGCCACTGAACAAAAGTGTGTTTGCACTGATATTCAAAAATGTTCTGCAGAAGCGCTGAGGACTGACCTAGAATCTGATGACCTGAACAACACAAGATGTCACGAGAGGAAGCACAGTCCAAAGTTCACCTTTCCAAATGGCATCTATTTGTATCTATTAATGAAAATCCAAATTCAAACCTCTTGAATACACTGGGGTATTGTCATTGCATGTCAAGTTTCACCTTCATTTGTCAAGTGGTTTCAGAGGAATTTATGTTTACACTGCAAGGAACTGCAGTTTGAAAGAATTCTGGAGGTGGTCAATGTTCAAAGGTTAAAACACAGGTAAAAATATTGCGAAAAATTGGGACAACTATGAACTACAGATATACCAAATTTCACAACATTTTGAACAAAGATGACTGAGAAGGTCAAATATAGGTCAAAATTTACTTATTGATAAAAGGGAACATATTTTTTTTAGTATACTACCACATATGAACCAAATTTATTACATTTTGCAAACAACTAGCTGATTAAAGGCCATAAAGCGTTATGGCTGCCATAGGATGAGAACCTCTTGAACAAACTGGAGAGTCATTATTAGTGGGACCAAGTAGGTGAAGTCTCAGCTTCATCGGTCCACTGGATTCTGAGGAGAATATCTTTATGTCAGACAACAGACGATGCACGACAGATGATCCACCAGAGGATGCACGACAGACGATGCACCACAGAGGATGTACAACTGACGATCAACCAGAGGATGCACGACAGATGATCAACCAGAGGATGCACAACAGACGATGCACGACAGATGATCCACCAGAGGATGCACGACAGATGATCCACCAGAGGATGCACGACAGACGATGCACCACAGAGGATGTACAACTGACGATCAACCAGAGGATGCACGACAGATGATCAACCAGAGGATGCACAACAGACGATGCACGACAGATGATCCACCAGAGGATGCACGACAGATGATCCACCAGAGGATGCACGACAGACGATGCACCACAGAGGATGTACAACTGACGATCAACCAGAGGATGCACGACAAAGGATGCTCGACAGAGGATCAACCACAGACGTTCAACCAGAGGATGCACGACAGACGATCCACCACAGAGGATGCACCACATAATCCACCACAGAGGATGCACGACAGACGATCCACCACAGAGGATGCACCACAGAGGATGCATCAAAGACGATGCACCACAGAGGATGCACTACAGAGGATGCACCACAGAGGATGCACAAGAGGATGCACCACAGATGATGCTCCACAGATGATGCTCCACAGAGGATGCACCACAGAGAATGTACCACAGAGGATGCACCAAAGGATGCACCACAGAGGATGCACCACAGAGGATGCACCACAGAGGATGCAGAAATAACAGTTACAAAAAAAGACAAAAATATGTTCAGAATATGCAGATTTTTTCAACAACAAAAAAGTTTTCAAATATTCTTGAATTTACTCTTGCAAAATATAGAGCAGGTTAATCAACAAAACAAGGAAGCAATGTTTGGCCTACTGGTAATACTCCCCCCCTCCCCAGGTCCTATGTTTTCCACCCCCCCGGGCCAATGTCTGCACAGTAAGTAGTGGCGCCATCACAGCTTGGGTTATACGTAAGTAGGAACAGAACGGACAGTCATACAAGTTTCTCGTCAGGTCCACACATGGTAAACTCAAAACTCATACAAGTCTATCATGAGGTGCCGACATGGTAAACTCAACACTCGTACAAGTCTCTCATGAGGTGCCGACATGGTAAACTCAACACTCATACAAGTCTCTCATGAGGTGCCGACATGGTAAACTCAACACTCGTACAAGTCTATCATGAGGTGCCGACATGGTAAACTCAAAACTCGTACAAGTCTATCATGGGGTACAGAGACAATCAAGTCATATATATATATATATATACAGACCAATACACAAAATATTGTTGTCATATGCTATATACATTTTTATAAATAATCATTCCATCAAATGTACAAATTCATATGTTTCATTAGTTTATAAATAACTGTCCAAGTTACAGGGCCCACAGCACAGTGTATAACATCAACATGTACAACAGAATCACTCCGCCCTGCAGCATGGCAGCATGTTAGGGACATAATTTACTCAGGCAAATGAACCTTGGATTTTTAACATAAGGGTACATCTGTTTAAGGCTCTGGACATGTAACAATTGTGTTGAAATAAGGTTCTGTCAATATTTAAATGTCTATCGCACAGATGTACAGTGCCATGATAAATGCACCCCCCTTCATCACACCCCCTCCTCCTTCATCCCACCCCCTCCTCCTTCATCCCGCCCCCTCCTCCTTCATCCCGCCCCCTCCTCCTTCATCCCACCCCCTACTCCTTCATCCCGCCCCCTTATTTTCTTATCCCACCCCCTAATTTTCTTATCCCACCCCCTCCCTTCTCCTTCATCCCACCTCCTACTCCTTCATTCCACCCCTACTTTTTTATCCTGCCCCCTACTTTTTTTTATCACACCTTCTACTCTTTTATCCTGCCCCCTCACACCCCTTCTCCTTCATCCCGCCCCTCCTCCTTCATCCCGCCCCCTACTCCTTCATCCCGCCCCCTACTCCTTCATCCCGCCCCTCCTCCTTCATCCCGCCCCCTACTCCTTCATCCCGCCCCCTACTCCTTCATCCCACCCCCTCCTCCTTCATCCCACCCCCTACTTCTTCATCCCCCTCCCACTCCTTCATCCCACCTCCTACTCCTTCATTCCACCCCCTACTTTTTTATCCCGTCCCCTACTTTTTTTATCACACCCTCTACTCTTTTATCCTACCTCCTCCCACCCCTTCTCCTTCATCCCGCCCCCTCCTCCTTCATCCCGCCCCCACCTCCTTCATCCCGCCCCCTACTCCTTCATCCCGCCCGCTCCTCCTTCATCCCGCCCCCTCCTCCTTCATCCCGCCCCCTGCTCCTTCATCCCGCTCCTCCTTCATCCCGCCCCCTCCTCCTTCATCCCACCCCCTGCTCCTTCATCCCGCCACTAATTTTTTTATCCCACCCCCTCCCTTCTCCTTCATCCCCCTCCCACTCCTTCATCCCACCTCCTACTCCTTCATTCCACCCCCTACGATTTTTTTTATCCCGCCCCCTACTTTTTTTTTATCACACCCTCTACTCTTTTATCCTACCTCCTCCCACCCCTTCTCCTTCATCCCGCCCCCTCCTCCTTCATCCCGCCCCCTACTCCTTCATCCCGCCCGCTCCTCCTTTATCCCGCCCCCTCCTCCTTCATCCCGCCCCTAATTTTTTTATCCCGCCCCCTCCTCCTTCATCCCACCCCCTGATCCTTCATCCCGCCCCTAATTTTTTTATCCCACCCCCTCCCTTCTCCTTCATTCCCCTTCCACTCCTTCATCCCACCTCCTTCTCCTTCATTCCACCCCCTACTATTTTTTTATCCCGCCCCCTACTTTTTTTTTATCACACCCTCTACTCTTTTATCCTGCCCCCTCTCACCCCTTCTCCTTCATCCCGCCCCCTACTCGTTCATTCCACCCCTTAATAATTCATCCCACGCCCTCCCCATCACGTGGCTTCAGACAGTTAGAGGTAGGGGCCAACCCTTGTGGTTTATCGTCAAGGCAATCAGAAAAGCCATCATACATGCTATGGCTCCCATTATCTAAACTACCATTTTTCTGTAAATTAAGAATTACATTCTTGATTGAATATGCTGCTTAAATGTAATATTGAACTTTTGGAAAAAAATACCCCTCAGTTGATTTAACAAAGACAGTGGACATTAAACAGACCACCTGGATACAAATGGAAATAGATGGACAAAGTGTCAACACAAGCATCTCTTTCCAAGTGCATCAAAACATGCATCATCCCAGGCGAGTGTGTGCTTTGATTGAAACATTAAGAATAACCTGCATTGTTTGATTCAGGGGAATTCTTGGGTTGGAGCGACCAGATTATAAACTTTGTCAAAAAGGTAATTGTGCTGTGACAGATTATTAGCAGGATTATTGACAATTCTAACCACACCTTCAGTTACAAGAATCTTCTGTGAAAGCAGGAATCAGTATTATTGTGTGCCATTTTCCTGTAAAATATTCCAGAAATAACAATGCCCCCAACCTTCGTTTGCTCCTAGGACTCAGTGGAAACACCCGGTATAATAACTCATATGATTTCAAATGCAGTGATCGAAAGAAAATAATCTTGAAACTAGAATGATACCAGGAATAAGACATTGAGATATCTTAATATTGTACTTGCTGCGTTTACGACATGTTTCTAAAATAATGGTGAGCGGATGACTTTGTTGCGAGCCTCGTCCCCTGGGCAGGGGAGGTGAACGCAAGAGGTGAACCCAAGTACCAAGGTCAAGTTGGGTACTAGTATAGCGGATACTTCGTCACCCAAGAAAGTCATGTAATCGGAACTGCAATATTATATTCAGCCAGTCAGTGGTTATGTAAAGATTAAATAAAAACAGTGAGACGGAACGTCCGACAACTCAGTGGAACGCACATCTTGTCATAAACTTGATCATGAACAAGCTGTAATACACCTTCTTACTGAAGATCAATAGATCTCAGAACAAATATGGCTGCCTTCATCTAAACGATCTTAGAGATAAAATGAACACAACCACAGGATGAATATCTTGAGTCTCGAGCTATCACTGAAACCTGCTCCTGCTCTGAGGGTGAGTGAGGCGTTTCTTTGTCATTTCCGCAATCCTCCCACCCCAGGGAGTGTGAAGAACAGGCTTCACCACAGGTGCTGGACCCCAACACCTCTCAGCTGATGAGGATTATAGGTCTTCCTCGTCCCCAGCAAGCCCTCACAGGTTTCATGTGTCTCTGGACCATTGATATTCACGGAGTAAAGCATGCATATAGAATGTCTATAAAATGTAACCAGTATCACAAAATTCTAATATAACAGAGTCAAATATTCAGTAAAAATAAATGTAAATATATAAGTACCGAACAGGTTTCTCAAAATTGTAAGGACTGTCATTTCTAGATGCCATCTTGTTATGAACTGCCATATCTAACATCGTCATACATCCTCACAGATTTCTTGTATCCACGGGGCACCTGCCTCGTACAAACTAGCCATTTCAGATTGCAACTGTCCCTCTTTGACAGTTGCTCCTATTTGAAGTATTTGAGAGCTGCAACAGCAAGGAACTTCTCGATGAAGAGCTCGGAGTCAAGGACAGCGATGTGGGCAGCACGTCCGATGATGGTGTTGGCGGTGCTGGACAGCGCGTGGAACACATCGTAGCGGATGAGCTTACATCCTGGGTTGTCCACCACGGGCTTCAGGATGTTCTCCACCATCTCCTTGTACACCGACCCTGAACACAGCAACACATGGAGTGAGTGGTGTTGTGTTGTGTGGTGTGTTGTGTTGTGTGGTGTGTTGTTTGGTGTGGTGTGGTGTGGTGTGGTGTGGTGTGGTGTGGTGTGGTGTGGTGTAGTGTGGTGTGGTGTGGTGTAGTGTGGTGTGTGGTGGTGTGGTGGTGTGGTGGTGTGGTGGTGTGGTGTGGCATGGTTGTGTGTGGTGTGGTGTGGTCTTCTGTGGTGTGGCATGGTGGTGTGTGGTGTGTGATGTGGTGTGTGGTGTGTCATGGTCTTCTGTGGTGTGGCATGGTGGTGTGTGATGTGGTGTGGCATGGTGGTGTGTGGTGTGTGATGTGGTGTGTGGTGTGGCATGGTGGTGTGTGGTGTGTGATGTGGTGTGTCATGGTGGTGTGTGGTGTGGTGGTTTGTGGTGTGGTGTGGTGTGGTGTGGTATGGTGGTGTGTGAGTGAGTCATATTGCAGTGTCAGCTTAGCAATGGTGTTGCAGATGCTGTTATCACTTGGTGAAGTACTGAAAAAAGGAATACACAATAGCCCCAGCTGAGGAATGAACCCCACCCAGAGCACCACTTTTGCTTGAGTCCGCCATCCCCACCTTATCCCTGCACACAGGCACCCCTAACCCAGCGCACAATGCACCACTCATCCATCCCACTCACGCTTGAGTAGGCATCTCATCTCTAGCCCCGCCAACAGCACACCATTAACATATGAGTCTGCCATTCTAACCCTAGCCCCGCCCACAGGCACCCTAGCCCCGCCCATAGCACACCACTCCCCCATGTGTCCACCATCCCACCCTAAGCCCCGCCAACAGCACACCACTAAAAAATGAGTCTGCCATCCCACCTCTAGCCCTGCCCACAGGCACCCCTAGCCCCGCCCATAATGCTCCATTTACGCATGAGTCTGCCATCCCACCCTAAGCCCCGCCAACAGCGCACCACTCACCTGTGAGTCCACCATCCCAACCCCAGCCCCGCCCACAATGCACCACTCACCTGTGAGTCCACCATCCCACCCCTAGCCCCGCCCACAGCGCACCACTCACCTGTGAGTCCTCCATCCCACCCCTAGCCCCGCCCACAGCGCACCACTCACCTGTGAGTCCTCCATCCAAGCCCTAGCCCTGCCAACAGCACACCACTCACCCATGAGTCCTCCATCCCAGCCCTAGCCCTGCCCACAGCACACCACTAAAAAATGAGTCCGCCATCCCACCCCTAGCCCCGCTCACAGCGCACCACTCACCTGTGAGTCCCCCATCCCAACCCTAGCCCCGCCCACAATGCACCACTCACCTGTGAGTCCCCCATCCCAACCCCAGCCCCGCCCACAATGCACCACTCACCTGTGAGTCCACCATCCCGTCCCTAGCCCCGCCCACAGCGCACCACTCACCTGTGAGTCCTCCATCCCACCCCTAGCCCCGCCCACAGCGCACCACTCACCTGTGAGTCCTCCATCCAAGCCCTAGCCCTGCCAACAGCACACCACTCAACCATGAGTCCTCCATCCCAACCCTAGCCCTGCCAACAGCACACCACTCACCTGTGAGTCCCCAATCGCAACCCCAGCCCCGCCAACAATGCACCACTCACCTGTGAGTCCTCCATCCCACCCCTAGCCCAGCCCACAACACACCACTCACCTATGAGTCCACCATCCCACCCCTAGCCCGGCCAACAGCACACCACTCACCCATGAGTCCTCCATCCCAACCCTAGCCCCGCCAACAGCACACCACTCACCCATGAGTCCTCCATCCCAACCCTAGCCCCGCCAACAGCACACCACTCACCCATGAGTCCTCCATCCCAACCGTAGCCCCGCCAACAGCACACCACTCACCCATGAGTCCTCCATCCCAACCGTAGCCCCGCCAACAGCACACCACTCACCCATGAGTCCTCCATCCCAACCGTAGCCCCGCCAACAGCACACCACTCACCCATGAGTCCACCATCCCACCCCTAGCCCCACCCACAGCACACCAATGACTCCTCCATCCCAACCCTAGCCCCGCCGACAGCACACCACTCACCCATGAGTCCTCCATCCCAACCCTAGCCCCACCCACAGCACACCACTCACCCACGACTCCTCCATCCCAGCCCTAGCCCCGCCCACAATGCACCACTCACCTGTGAGTCCACCATCCCAACCCCAGCCCTGCCAACAATGCACCACTCACCCATAAGTCCACCATCTCGCTGAGCAGCCTTGCAGTATTCAATGCGAGAAGAGTGGTATGGCACATAGCGGTCCTGATTGGACCCAACCAGCAGCACATGCTTGAAGTGTTGGAGAACTGGAACATAAGCACCTTGTCTGCACCAGTAGTATATTACATTAACTGTAATGGGAATGAGTATTTCTGATATTTGCATTTTACAGATTCTTGATGTGATTAGTCAACTGAAGCAACATGGCATCACACTGCTTCATTGCTGAGAACAAGGCCACAAGATATAATGCATTGACAAAGTCATCAAAAACTGTACACACTTCATCTACACAAAATGATACTAAGTAACAACACATCGCATATCACCTTCTTGATATCAAGCCTCAGAGCTGACACCATTAATTCATTCGTGACAACCTACTACTCCTACATCCCGCCCCCTCCCACCCCTACTTCTTCATCCTGCCCCCTCCCACCCCCTATTTCTTCATCCTGCCCCCTCCCACCTCCTACTCCTACATCCCGCCCCTTCCCACCACCCCCTTCATCCTGCCCCCTTCCACCCCCTACTCCTTCATCCCGCCCCCTCCCACCCCCTACTTCTTCATCCTGCCCCCTCCCACTCCCTCATCCTGCCCCCTTCCACCCCCTACTTCTTCATCCTGGCCCCTCCCACCCCCTACTCCTTCATCCTGGCCCCTCCCACCCCCTACTCCTTCATCCTGCCCCCTCCCACCCCCTACTTCTTCATCCTGCCCCCTCCCACCCCCTACTTCTTCATCCTGCCCCCTCCCACTCCCTCATCCTGCCCCCTTTCACCCCCTTCTTCTTCATCCTGGCCCCTCCCACCCCCTACTCCTTCATCCCGGCCCCTCCCACCTCTACTTCTTCATCCCGGCCCCTCCCACACCCTACTCCTTCATCCCGCCCCCTCCCACCCCCTACTACGTCATCCCGCCCCCTCCCACCTCTACTCTTTCATCCCGCCCCCTCCCACCCCCTACTACGTCATCCCGCCCCCTCCCACCCCCTACTCTTTCATCCCGCCCCCTCCCAACCCCTACTACGTCATCCCGCCCCCTACTCCTTCATCCCGGCCCCTCCCATCCCCTACTCCTTCATCCCGCCCCCTCCCACCTCTACTTCTTCATCCTGCCCCGTCCCACCCCCTACTTCTTCATCCTGCCCCGTCCCACCCCCTACTTCTTCATCCTGCCCCGTCCCACCCCCTACTCCTTCATCCTGCCCTCTCCCACCCCCTACTACGTCATCCCGCCCCCTCCCACGACCCCCTTCTTCTTCAAACTGCCATCTCCCGACCCCTACTCCTTCATCCCACTCCCACCCCCTATTTCTTCATCCTTCCAGCTCCAACCCCTACTACTTCATCCCGCCCCCTCCCACCCCCTACTTCTCCATCATGAACACGGACACTGGAGGAGGCGAACATGATGACGGTTACCAGGTCTAAGTGAGCTGTATTTGAACGTCACTTGTACCAGTATTACAACCATACAGGCAAACAGGTCGTCCCAATGGACATGGGGCTCACTGACCAAGGATCTTGAACATGGATTCGAACTCATGATCAAGACAACCTGGGGCCCCATTCACGAAGCTGTCTTAGTGTTAAGATTGACGTAGTTTAAATAGTTAAAATGGCGGCCAAAAGACGGCATGTTGAAGAAAACAATTCGCCAGCATGGGTCTACTGTATTATTTCTGAGCACAAAAACTGAGGGGTTTCCACTTTCACTTTCAAAACATGAACAGATCCCAGCAAAGACAGCTGAAACATTGTGTTTACCGATGATGACGTACATCTAACAGTGAGTCAATGACAGATGTTAGCTAACAATCATTCCATACAAAATGTTACAAACTACCTTTCTAATTTATTTTGGCTGAAACACAATTAAGCAGCGTGTTTGTATGCTATCGCAATGACCTTGACCTTCTCAGCAAGAGCAGTTACAAGCTCCTTCCCAGCGCTTGACACCTTCGTTACACTCTCGGTAACATCGCTGCCACCAGTGTGGGCGCGGTGGCCATTACAAGATTCTTGAAATTTACCCTCTAAACCCATATTAGTAACGTTTATACTTTTGTTTATGTCTTTGAGAATGCCATCATATTTCATTTTGAAAAGGTTTACGACTGACTCTGTTTTCCAGATGAATTTACTTTGTTGTTTTCATAATCAGATTGGTTTGAGATTGCAGACTAACGGAAAATCAACATACTTTTCCCTTACATTCTTACTATATCAATTAAAGATGATACTTTTAATGAAATAGAAATTCAAACTGACAAACAAATAAAGTAATTTATCAGCAGTAAGTGTATTCAGCGTCACGACAGTCGTCACTTGTTTTTAAACATAACAGTCATTCGGTTGTGAGTTCAACTCCCAAGTATGGTTGGGGCCACCTATCACAGTGGGGAGTTTTGACTGGTGGCAGCGATAGTATAGAGAGCTCCCCGAACGGACTATCGCTGTGAGGAGCTTGGAGCAGTTAACATATATCGAGAATTAGAGTGGCTTCCCTTTAACTATGACTACAAGATGGGAAATTTATATTGTCTAATGGTGTCAGCACATTATCGGTGGTTGTTGTTTGGAAATCATGTAGTGAATATTCCATAATGAATGACAAGGGAAAACAATTTAAGTTTATTCTTCAGGGTTGTGTTACAAATATTTCAGATATATTGGGTAGTTTGGAGTCTAGGAAGGTTAATTCCCATAATATTTATTCCATTTTGTTGATTCTGCTCTCAGTGCATAAACCGTGTGGCGGCTGTGGGACATCCTGTATGTAAACATATACGTCTCATTGTTATATGTTTAGGATTTCCTTCTCAATAGGATGTTTGTGCAATGTGTTTGATGCAATCTGTGTTTGACATCTGGCCATACTGATATGATACACTTACTTCCTGGTTAAAAGTTTCCGTTTTGCTACATATGTGAGATCTTTTATCGCGACAGTTAACAGGAGATAGGTGAAGGACATCACAAGGAATGCCTGAACATGTGGCAATGAAACTTAAATACGTTACGGATATTCACAAAGTCATATTGTTATTTCTTTGGTGTAAGGTTCAAGAATGAAATAGGCATAAGTGATTTTCAACTTGCGAACTTCAAGATTTGATTCACTTTTTAGATGCTCTGAAGACATGCACAAACATTTTATGAATTTATTATTGTTACGAATATTTAACCAACTGGTATAGTGTCCAAAGACTTTTTACTTGTCCATGTGATTGTTCATTAGCCCCGGGATAGCATATTCATTTAGTGCAATATTCGGTAATTGTGACCAGGGATTTGTATCTGAATATAGGAGTCTAAAGGGTAGCGACACATGTTATATCTGGGATGACACTTTCTTCGTAAAGTGCATATTCTTGTACTTATTTGGGTTGCATCCTGTCCTAAATGGCATTGTGTATTTAAAGGGTAGACAAATTGGAAAAAATAATATTTGTTCAAAATTGGGAGTTTTCAATATTTCCTTAATTTCTTCCTGAGTTATTTTAGCATTGTATACAAATGTTAGGACTTTTGAAGAGGGAAATTGTACTGATATTAGCTGCAGATCTGTTTGTCCACCTGCTTGTGGAAGAGGTTGAATACAAGACCTACTGTATAACATCTCCATAAAACTTTGTACAGATATCTGCTTTAGTAAGACTGTTATGATAAACAAATGATATTTTGTATCCTTGAGCACTTCCAATTTTTACTCATTTAGATATCATGAATTGTATTGTAGAGCACTGTTATACAGGCAGGTATTATCGCAGCCCTTTACAGGTAGTTACCAGGGTAAGGTACACGGTACAGATAAGGTACAAAAGTTGTGAGCATGCTGACCACACAATACGAGGTGAATTTCTAATACATCTAATATGAATCCTTGTATAGCTTTGTTGCAGTATCTACTGATGTGCCATTAAATGAATTGCAAGTACTCAGATAATGGCTTATTTTTAAGAGAAAGTTATCCCTAAAAAGTGAATGAGATGTTTTACACTTGATTAGAGAGATACAGAGCTCCTGATCAATTTTGAGTAATTGAGTTTTTACTCCAGGGACTCTATTTTAATTGGGTTATTACATTTTTCATTGGGTAACCGATATTTTTTCACTCATCTAGTCATCACTCTATTGTTTTTTTCCCCAAATAAGATAACATTTTAAGATATAAAAAAATGAAATAATGTTCAAAATACATAGGCTTGACTTGGAAAGTAAATTAGTTCGTAATTGTGTGTCGGAAATTAGTTCCTTTGTACGCATGCTGAAAAAGCTTCATTGGGTATTTACGGGAGCTGTTTTTATAATTTGAGTTTTTCATTTAATGCATGCGTTTCTGTATGCAAGTTAATTGAAAGTAATTGAATTTTGAATATTTGGGGGGGTATTCTATGCAAATACGCTGCTTATCTGTAATCTCTGTATGAATGTTTCTAAAGCATCTGTAAACCCATAACACAGAGATATATACAACTGAAAACAAGAGTGAGTGAGTGAGTTGGGTTTAACGCCGCTTTTAAACAGTATTCCAGTTATATCGCGGCGTGTCAGCATAATGTGGGAGGAAAGCCCAAAGTGATGCAGGTCTCAGACGTTTACCACTTTAGTGAAACCCATGAGCACGGGTATGTTGCTGACAAACCTAGAAACATAAACGGGGCGAACCGGGATTTGAACCCACAATCATAGGTTTCGGGCGTGCCCAAGGGACAAAACTCTGCACAGCGAATCTCGGCGCCTTAGACGACTGGGCCACCCGTGCCCCCACTGAAAACAAGAAGCGGCTAAGGGAGGATTTGTGTACCTGGCTTGCAGCTGAGCTTGTAGAGGAAGGACTGGCGCGGGTCCGGATGGTCCTTCATGCTGAGCTGCAGCAGTGACCCCGACTTCTTCCACTTCTGCATGAACCACATCCCTGCGGACACACATTCACGCATACACCACATGGAATCTCATGTTGTTTGTTCGTTTATTTGTTGTTTAATGCTGCACTTAGCAATATCCCAGCTATATGACGGCAACCTGTAACTAATGGAAGTCTGGACAAGACAATCCAGTCACTGATTTTGTGAGCAATGTGATATTGGTAGTCTGACCACCAGATCACCACTTGTCACCTGTTACAACCAAAAGGTCCTAGGTTTCTAGTGACCTCTTGTAACTCTGAAATCCCCACAGTACAACCAGCATGTGTTGGTGGAGATCTGTTCTAACCTTGAATCCCCACGGTATAACCAGCATGGGTTGGTGGAGATCTGTTCTAACCTGGAATCCCCATGATACGACCAGCATGGGTTGGTGGAGATCTGTTCTAACCTGGAATCCCCCTGATACAACCAGCATGGGTTGGTGGAGATCTGTTCTAACCTGGAATCCCCCTGATACAACCAGCATGGGTTGGTGGAGATCTGTTCTAACCTGGAATCTCCATGATACAACCAGCATGGGTTGGTGGAGATCTGTTCTAACCTGGAATCTCCATGGTACAACCAGCATGGGTTGGTGGAGATCTGTTCTAACCTGGAATCTCCATGATACAACCAGCATGGGTTGGTGGAGATCTGTTCTAACCTGGAATCTCCATGGTACAACCAGCATGGGTTGGTGGAGATCTGTTCTAACCTGGAATCTCCATGATACAACCAGCATGGGTTGGTGGAGATCTGTTCTAACTTGGAATCTCCATGATACAACCAGCATGGGTTGGTGGAGATCTGTTTTAACCTGGAATCTCCATGATACAACCAGCATGGGTTGGTGGAGATCTGTTCTAACCTGGAATCTCCATGATACAACCAGCATGGGTTGGTGGAGATCTGTTCTAACCTGGAATCTCCATGATACAACCAGCATGGGTTGGTGGAGATCTGTTCTAACCTGAGATCCCCATGGTACAACCAGCATGGGTTGGTGGAGATCTGTTCTAACCTGAGATCCCCACAGTACGACCAGCATGGGTTGGTGGGAACTTATTGTAGTGAGTGAGTGAGTGAGTGAGTTGGGTTTAACGCCGCTTTTAACAGTATTCCAGTTATATCACTGCATGTCAGCTTAATGTGGGAGGAAAGCCGGAAGTGATGCAAGTCTCAGATGTTTACCACTTCAGTGAAACCCACGGGCATGGGTATGGTGCTGACAAACCTAGAAACATAATCGGGGCGAACCGGGATTCGAACCCACAATCATAGGTTTCTGGCGTGCCCAAGGTACGCAACTCTGCACAGCAAATCGCGGCGCCACAGATGACTGGGCCACCCCTATGGTGTAGGAACCTCATGTAACCATGAATCCTTCTCAAACCCCCTTGTCGCACAATTCAGTTACCTATTCGTTTAAATGAGTGAGTGAGTAGGGTTTAACACTACTGGATCAGTGTTCCGGGTTTATCCCAACTGGATGTATGAGGAGAGCCCCAATTGATGCAGGTCCTTGGTGAAAGTCAAAGGCATGGTGCTGACAAGCACAGAAACTTTATCAGGTCAAACCGGGTTTGAACCCATGGTTATAAGTTCATGGCATGCCTAAGGGAGGCAACTCTACACAGCCAATTACAGAGCAATACACAACTTGACACCCAGTGTCTCCATTCCTTATAAAGACACAAATAGCAAGAAGGGTTAATGGTCCAACAGACACCCACCCATATTGACGAGGCCGCTCGTGTTGTAGATGGATCCAAGATGGGGGCCGGACAGCGACAGGAAGGTGTACAGTTTCGGCAGCAGGTGAGTGAGTTGCGGTCGAGACAGTGCCGAGCGGATGATGATGTTTCCAAGAGAGTGACCAATGAAACTGCAATATGGAATCACAACCCTTTAAAATTTGGTTCATTGTCCTAAAGCAATATTTTACTGATATCAAGGGTGGATAGCATCTTCTCTGGCAGTAACCAACCCAAGCACCTTTATCGTCATGGCCACCCATACCTATCTGTTATGACAAGTTTGTTTGTTTGTTCTCTAACACCAAACTCAGCAATATTACAGCTATAAGATGGGGGTATGTAAATAATCGAGTCATGATCATGAGTATTGATCCATGCAATTGGGATATGATGACATGCATCAACCAAGTCAGTGAGCCTAATCACCTGATCCTGTTAGTCACGTCTTACGACAAGCATAGTCACCTCTTAAGACAAGCATAGTCGCCTCTTAAGACAAACATGGGTTGCTGAAGACCTATTCTGACACGGATCTTCATGGGTTTTATGATTAGAATCTATGTCCTGCAAATAACTGAGTCTGGACAAGGCTAACAAGAGACTGACAGCATGAGCACTGATCCAGACCATGGATGTACGATGGCACACAGCAGGACCACCCAATCCCCAGTTTAGTCGGCCTTACAACCTGCATGAAGTACGTCCTGACCCCGGGCAAGACCCCTAGCCTGCACTGCCCCCTGTTTCTACATGAGGACATCGTGATGAAACCCTCTCCCATCACGTGTGAGCAAGTACAGGGATGTCAGTCCACACAGGTCTCTCACACAGTTACAAGGTTAACAACACACACACCCAGCCTCATCACGTGTGAGCAAGTACAGGGATGTCAGTCCACACAGGTCTCTCACACAGTTACAAGGTTAACAACACACACACACAGCCTCATCACGTGTGAGCAAGTACAGGGATGTCAGTCCACACAGGTCTCTCACACAGTTACAAGGTTAACAACACACACACCCAGCCTCATCACGTGTGAGCAAGTACAGGGATGTCAGTCCACACAGGTCTCTCACACAGTTACAAGGTTAACAACACACACACACAGCCTCATCACGTGTGAGCAAGTACAGGGATGTCAGTCCACACAGGTCTCTCACACAGTTACAAGGTTAACAACACACACACACAGCCTCATCACGTGTGAGCAAGTACAGGGATGTCAGTCCACACAGGTCTCTCACACAGTTACAAGGTTAACAACACACACACACAGCCTCATCACGTGTGAGCAAGTACTGGCATGACAGTCCACACAGGTCTCTCACACAGTTACAAGGTTAACAACACACACACCCAGCCTCATCACGTGTGAGCAAGTACTGGTTTGACAGTCCACACAGGTCTCTCACACAGTTACAAGGCTAACAACACACACACCCAGCCTCATCACGTGTGAGCAAGTACTCATCCTCATCTCGTGTGACTTCACTTTTATTATGCTTAGTATAGACTTGCCTGATCTTAGCAAGATGAAGTCCGTAGATGTCGATGTAGGACAGGATCTCATCCACCAGACGTACGGTCATCACTTCAAACTCCGCGAATGTGTCCAGCTGAAATAATTGTTACATGGTGGCAGTCAGATCCAACAGCATACTTGGCTTTTTATGTCTAACCTGTTGTAAGGTAAATATCATATAACTTGTGATAAAGAACTGATGGAACGATATCAGCGAACGGGTGGGGTTAAGATTAGGGTGGGGCTAGACAGACAACTCCCAGGCAGGACCGGTATGTCGGCACCAATGTGTTGAGGTACAGATTCCGTTCTGCACCAGAACTGATGGACAACTTCAGGTTGCCAAAGGAATCCGACTTTTGGCGTCAACGATACGAAACTTAAATACTGCTTCTAGAAGAATGCGTATCACTGCTGCACACAGGTGCCTCAGACAGCAGTGGGCACAGCAGCTGGGAGGTCGTCAACAGGGGCATTGAAGATACACCATGTTTTCTGAAGGAATGAGGAATTGTTTACTCTTTACAGATGGTAGACAGCTTGTTTGGAGATGGTGTGGAGAGGGGTAGAATCAGGTATCAGTCCAAGAACACAATAGGTATGGTGGTGGCAGCATCATGGTCTGGGCTGGCACCACATACAACAACAGCACGGATCTGATGACCGCACAAGGAACATGACCAAATGTTGCATCCAGTAGTAAAGCCATTTTCCCAGTGCATAGGTGAGAACTTTGGGTTCCAGGATGACAACGTGCGTCCTCACAGGATGTCTGAGGCAGCAAGATGTCACAGTATTGCCCTGGCTAGCCAAGTGAACTCTCACCAAGTGAACACCTTTGGGATGATGTGGGCGGAAGGGTTCACAGCTGATCTCAGCATGTCACTGTCACCGAGTGAACACCTTTGGGATGATGTGGGCGGAAGGGTTCACAGCTGATCTCAGCATGTCACTGTCACCGAGTGAACACCTTTGGGATGATGTGGGTGGAAGGGTTCACAGCTGATCTCAGCATGTCACTGTCACCGAGTGAACACCTTTGGGATGATGTGGGCAGAAGGGTTCAAGCTGATCTCAGCATGTCACTGTCACCGAGTGAACACCTTTGGGATGATGTGGGTGGAAGGGTTCACAGCTGATCTCAGCATGTCACTGTCACCGAGTGAACACCTTTGGGATGATGTGGGCGGAAGGGTTCACAGCTGATCTCAGCATGTCACTGTCACCGAGTGAACACCTTTGGGATGATGTGGGCGGAAGGGTTCACAGCTGATCTCAGCATGTCACTGTCACCGAGTGAACACCTTTGGGATGATGTGGGCGGAAGGGTTCACAGCTGATCTCAGCATTCACACAACTTGCAACAGCTTGGGCAGGCCTTACAACAAGAATGGCAAGGGGAGACAATCTGGCGTTTGATATCAGTATACCCAAAAGATGTTGTGTCTGCATCGATGCTCACCGGGCATGGACAAGATATTGCCTTTGCTAGTAAGATTGAATTCCTCAAATGTCTTTACATATCACTACTGAATATTTTTGGGTGTTCCCTTAAATATTGTTCCCAGAATATGATAAACAGCTTGGTGGCAGTTACCATTATACAACTTGTTTTAAGATAACTGAATAAATGAATACATATTGTCTTACACCGCATCAGCAATTTTAAGAGTTTTAAGATAAATATTATACTTGTCAGGAAAGAATCATATACTTTGTTGTTGGATAAGTTTGATATTGGTGTGCGTTTCAGTACCTGGTTCCTCTCTGACATGAGGAACTCCAACTTGTATCCAGGCAACGCCATCTCAATGTACGTCCGCACCAGCCGCAGGTCCGCACTGTTACCTGGTCACGAGAAGGAGAAACTACACACATTTAATATTTACTTCTGTCAATTTGATTCAAACTTACAGCTGAAGACTGAAGATATTCCCAAAAGATATTTATTAGGAAGAATATTGAAAAATTCTTTTGGAGTTGCAGATTCATTCCAGGAATTTATAATATATAAGGTTGAGTCTCATGATTACTGATCCAGCATTGTTTGTGTGGGTATTTAGTCAAGAAGGCAAGACCCTCACCGTCTGGACACTGGACACACACGATGAGGTGTATACAATATATATCTACTGACCGTCCAGGCCGTGGACACACACGATGAGGTGTATACAATATATATCTACTGACCGTCTGGACACTGGACACACACGATGAGGTGTATACAATATATATCTACTGACCGTCTGGACACTGGACACACACGATGAGGTGTATACAATATATATCTACTGACCGTCTGGACACTGGACACACACGATGAGGTGTATACAATATATATCTACTGACCGTCTGGACACTGGACACACACGATGAGGTGTATACAATATATATCTACTGACCGTCTGGACACTGGACACACACGATGAGGTGTATACAATATATATCTACTGACCGTCTGGACACTGGACACACACGATGAGGTGTATACAATATATATCTACTGACCGTCTGGACACTGGACACACACGATGAGGTGTATACAATATATATCTACTGACCGTCTGGACACTGGACACACACGATGAGGTGTATACAATATATATCTACTGACCGTCTGGACACTGGACACACACGATGAGGTGTATACAATATATATCTACTGACCGTCTGGACACTGGACACACACGATGAGGTGTATACAATATATATCTACTGACCGTCTGGACACTGGACACACACGATGAGGTGTATACAATATATATCTACTGACCGTCTGGACACTGGACACACACGATGAGGTGTATACAATATATATCTACTGACCGTCTGGACACTGGACACACACGATGAGGTGTATACAATATATATCTACTGACCGTCTGGACACTGGACACACACGATGAGGTGTATACAATATATATCTACTGACCGTCTGGACACTGGACACACACGATGAGGTGTATACAATATATATCTACTGACCGTCTGGACACTGGACACACACGATGAGGTGTATACAATATATATCTACTGACCGTCTGGACACTGGACACACACGATGAGGTGTATACAATATATATCTACTGACCGTCTGGACACTGGACACACACGATGAGGTGTATACAATATATATCTACTGACCGTCTGGACACTGGACACACACGATGAGGTGTATACAATATATATCTACTGACCGTCTGGACACTGGACACACACGATGAGGTGTATACAATATATATCTACTGACCGTCTGGACACTGGACACACACGATGAGGTGTATACAATATATATCTACTGACCGTCTGGACACTGGACACACACGATGAGGTGTATACAATATATATCTACTGACCGTCTGGACACTGGACACACACGATGAGGTGTATACAATATATCTCTACTGACCGTCTGGACACTGGACACACACGATGAGGTGTATACAATATATATCTACTGACCGTCTGGACACTGGACACACACGATGAGGTGTATACAATATATATCTACTGACCGTCCAGACCGTGGACACACACGATGAGGTGTATACAATATATATCTACTGACCGTCCAGGCCGTGGACACACACGATGAGGTGTATACAATATATATCTACTGACCGTCTGGACACTGGACACACACGATGAGGTGTATACAATATATATCTACTGACCGTCTGGACACTGGACACACACGATGAGGTGTATACAATATATATCTACTGACCGTCTGGACACTGGACACACACGATGAGGTGTATACAATATATATCTACTGACCGTCTGGACACTGGACACACACGATGAGGTGTATACAATATATATCTACTGACCGTCCAGACCGTGGACACACACGATGAGGTGTATACAATATATATCTACTGACCGTCCAGGCCGTGGACACACACGATGAGGTGTATACAATATAAATCTACTGACCGTCTGGACACTGGACACACACGATGAGGTGTATACAATATATATCTACTGACCGTCTGGACACTGGACACACACGATGAGGTGTATACAATATATATCTACTGACCGTCTGGACACTGGACACACACGATGAGGTGTATACAATATATATCTACTGACCGTCTGGACACTGGACACACACGATGAGGTGTATACAATATATATCTACTGACCGTCTGGACACTGGACACACACGATGAGGTGTATACAATATATATCTACTGACCGTCCAGACCGTGGACACACACGATGAGGTTTATACAATATATATCTACTGACCGTCCAGGCCGTGGACACACACGATGAGGTGTATACAATATATATCTACTGACCGTCTGGACACTGGACACACACGATGAGGTGTATACAATATATATCTACTGACCGTCTGGACACTGGACACACACGATGAGGTGTATACAATATATCTCTACTGACCGTCTGGACACTGGACACACACGATGAGGTGTATACAATATATATCTACTGACCGTCTGGACACTGGACACACACGATGAGGTGTATACAATATATATCTACTGACCGTCTGGACACTGGACACACACGATGAGGTGTATACAATATATATCTACTGACCGTCTGGACACTGGACACACACGATGAGGTGTATACAATATATATCTACTGACTGTCTGGACACTGGACACACACGATGAGGTGTATACAATATATCTCTACTGACCGTCTGGACACTGGACACACACGATGAGGTGTATACAATATATATCTACTGACCGTCTGGACACTGGACACACACGATGAGGTGTATACAATATATATCTACTGACCGTCTGGACACTGGACACACACGATGAGGTGTATACAATATATATCTACTGACCGTCTGGACACTGGACACACACGATGAGGTGTATACAATATATATCTACTGACCGTCTGGACACTGGACACACACGATGAGGTGTATACAATATATATCTACTGACCGTCTGGACACTGGACACACACGATGAGGTGTATACAATATATATCTACTGACCGTCCAGACCGTGGACACACACGATGAGGTGTATACAATATATATCTACTGACCGTCCAGACCGTGGACACACATGATGAGGAGTATACAATATATATCTACTGACCGTCCAGACCGTGGACACACACGATGAGGTGTATACAATATATATCTACTGACCGTCCAGACTGGACACACATGATGAAGTGTATACAATATATATCTACTGACCGTCCAGACCGTGGACACACATGATGAGGTGTATACAATATATATCTACTGACCGTCCAGGCCGTGGACACACACGATGTGGTGTATACAATATATATCTACTGACCGTCCAGACCGTGGACACACACGATGAGGTGTATACAATATATATCTACTGACCGTCCAGACCGTGGACACACACGATGAGGTGTATACAATATATATCTATTGACCGTCCAGACCATAGACACACACGATGAGGTGTATACAATATATATCTACTGACCGTCCAGACTGTGGACACACACGATGAGGAGTATACAATATATATCTACTAACCCTCAAGACCGTGGACACACACGATGAGGTGTATACAATATATATCTACTGACCATCCAGACCGTGGACACACACAATGAGGTGTATACAATATATATCTACTGACCGTCTGGACACTGGACACACACGATGAGGTGTATACAATATATATCTACTGACCATCCAGGCGGTGGACACACACGATGAGGTGTATACAATATATATCTACTGACCGTCCAGACTGTGGACACACACGATGAGGTGTATACAATATATATCTACTGACCGTCCAGACTGTGGACACACATGATGAAGTGTATACAATATATATCTACTGACCGTCCAGACCATGGACACACACGATGAGGTGTATACAATATATATCTACTGACCGTCCAGACTGTGGACACACACGATGAGGTGTATACAATATATATCTACTGACCGTCCAGACCGTGGACACACACGATGAGGTGTATACAATATATATCTACTGACCGTCCAGGCCGTGGACACACATGATGAGGTGTATACAATATATATCTACTGACCATCCACACCGTGGACACACACAATGAGGTGTATACAATATATATCTACTGACCGCCCAGACCGTGGACACACACGATGAGATGTATACAATATATATCTACTGACCGTCCAGACCGTAGACACACACGATGAGGTGTATACAATATAAATCTACTGACCGCCCAGACCGTGGACACACACGATGAGATGTATACAATATATATCTACTGACCGTCCAGACCGTAGACACACACGATGAGGTGTATACAATATAAATCTACTGACCGTCCAAGCCGTGGACAAACATGATGAGGTGTATACAATTTATATCTACTGACTGTCCAGACCGTGGACCCACACGATGAGGTATATACAATATATATCTACTGACCGTCCAGGCCGTGGACACACATGATGAGGTGTAAACAATATATATCTACTGACTGTCCAGACCGTGGACACACACGATGAGGTGTATACAATATATCTCAAATGACCGTCCAGGCAGTGGACACACACGATGTGGTGTATACAATATATATCTACTGACCGTCCAGGCCGTGGACACACACGATGAGGTGGATGCCGTCCTGGCCGCCATCGTCCAGGATGTCGGGGACCTGGAAGTATGGCATGCAGGATGCCAGCTGGGATGCCTCGCTGGAACAGATCAGGAGTACATCACAGCCCGGAGGACTTTACATACATATAACCTCGCACACTGTGTTTTCGAGCCCCCAAGAAATATTTCTCTGTACTTGTCTAGTAACAATCGTAATGCACTAAAATTAAGTCTGACCTTTGAGCACATGTATTTCTGTTTACAACTGGATAGTCAAATGACCACATCTTGTCAAATGAATCGTGATAAAGTCTCCCGTGCAAGATGCGTCAATCAGGTGCCATCTTGTTACCATCACTTCATTTCAAGCCCTTCAGCAGACGATACATCATGGGTGCATCAGTTCAAGTTTGATTAAAATGTGCATTAACAAGATAAGTGAAAAACTAAGTTTTGAGGTATGTTTTCATTACTTATTGACTATCTTACCTCATGTAGCTTAATTCGTAAAATAACTTCAGTGACAAGCGGTGAACACTTCGATATCTTCAGTGATCTTTGAAGCATCTACTTTGACTACGTTAATAAGCTCATGGTAACGTATTGTTTAGGGGCTCGAAAACATGTTACGTGGGGATACTTTGAAACCATAAAACTGCAAAGTGGTGAATTATTAATTCAGGCCCAAGAGAATTTGACTTGTGTTTCAGGTAACATTTACATATAAGTGGAAAGAGAACAAGATGAGTCCGACTTCCTCCTCCTGTGTTTTATTACATAGCACTAGAGCTACCTGTAATCAACTCACCTGTACAGGTGTCCCTGGTACTTCATCTCCAGCTTCATGCGCTCCCTCAACGTGACGAAACTGAAAGTAAACCATTCACAGTTCACTTCAATAATACGGCCTCCATAGCAAAGTAGGGGAGACATGACATATCCTAGCACCAAGATATATCCTGGCATGTCAGCTGGTACTATATTGCCAGTATAGGCGGTATGCATAATGAGATACTGGTACTATATTGCCAGTATAGGCCCATGGGGGTATGCATAATTAGATGCTGGTACTATGTTGCCAGTATAGGCCCATGGGGGTATGCATAATGAGATACTGGTACTATATTGCCAGTATAGGCCCATGGGGGTATGCATAATGAGATACTGGTACTATATTGCCAGTATAGGCCCATGGGGGTATGCATAATGAGATACTGGTACTATATTGCCAGTATAGGCCCATGAGGGTATGCATATTGACATACTACTCTGTTGCCAGTATAGGTGAGGTGAAATTGGGTTTAACGTCGCGTCCAAGATTATTGCACTTATATAGCGACGTGCATGCACGTGTGTGTGTGTGTGTGGTTGCTTGTACTAGTCCGGACTGATGCCGATTTATAGTGCTAGCTCACTGAGATACCATGCCGCAGTTTAACATGAATACCCCACTCAGACACAGTATACTGACTCCGAGCCGACCAGTCCTTGTTTTAGCCCCTTAATGCCGAGCGCCAGACAGGGTAACAACAAGTACCATCTTTTAATGTCTTTTGGTATGACGCGGCCGGGGATCGAACCCCGGACCTTCCGCTCTACGGGCGGACGCTCTACCACAAGACCTAGGAGGCGGCTGTTGCCAGTATAGGACCATGGGGGTATGCAAGTTATTTTGCAAGAATGGTAGAATTGATAAATGCATATTTGAATTTGCATGGCACAGCAGATCCCTGTAGCATTGCAACCTCATAGTACTTTAAGATCAGTTCACTTTTATTGTAAAAAGATGCATAATTATTACGATTGTATAGCATTAACCTTTGAATTTGCTATAATTTCATAGCAACTTAAAAAATATGTCTCACCTGTAAAATTGTTATATTTTTATCTGACCATATACAAGTATATATCCTAAACCTAATGTATGTAACATATATTTCCACAGAAAGTGTATGACAGGTACATAACGCCATTGTACTGGTACAAGAGACACAGGTACGTATTGTACACAACCCTGGCAGACTCTGACACATACAACTGTACAACACGAAACATGCCCTCGGGGACAGCCAATCAAAGCACAACCATTGACAACACCGAGAGGAGGATGGGCCATGCTACATGTTCAATAGCCAGAAATGAAACAGTAATCTTGATGCTTCCACTGTGTGTGTGTGTGTGTGTGAGAGTGAGTGAGTGAGTGAGTGAGTGAGTGAGTGAGTGAGTGAGTGAGTGAGTGAGTGAGTGAGTGAGTGAGTGAGTGAGTGAGTGAGTGAGTGAGTGAGTGAGTGAGTGAGTGAGTGTGAGGTCGGGATGGTATAAGATTGATGCAATGCCAGGATGGTATAAGATTGATATCACACCAGGATGGAATAAGATTGATGTAAGGCCGGGATGGTATAAGATTGATGTAATGCCGGGATGGTAAAAGATTGATATTACACCAGGATGGTAAAAGATTGATATCACACCAGGATAGTATAAGATTGATGTAATGCCGGGATGGTAAAAGAATGATATTACACCAGGATGGTATAAGATTGATATCACACCAGGATGGTATAAGATTGATGTAATGCCGGGATGGTAAAAGATTGATAATACACAAGGATGGTAAAAGATTGATATCACACCAGGATGGTATAAGATTGATGTAAGGTCGGGATGGTATAAGAATGATATCACACCAGGATGGTATAAGATTGATGTAATGCCGGGATGGTATAAGATTGATATCACACCAGGATGGTATAAAATTGATGTAAGGCCAGGATGGTATAAGATTGATATCACACCAGGATGGTATAAGAATGATATCACACAAGTATGGTATAAGATTGATGTAATGCCGGGATGGTATAAGATTGATATCACACCAGGATGGTATAAGATTGATGTAAGGCCAGGATGGTATAAGATTGATATCACACCAGGATGGTATAAGAATGATATCACACCAGTATGGTATAAGATTGATGTAAGGTCGGGATGGTATAAGATTGATATCACACCAGGATGGTATAAGATTGATGTAAGGTCGGGATGGTATAAGATTGATATCACACCAGGATGGTATAAGATTGATGTAAGGTCGGGATGGTATAAGAATGATATCACACCAGTATGGTATAAGAATGATATCACACCAGGATGGTATAAGATTGATGTAAGGCCGGGATGGTATAAGATTGATATCACACCAGGATGGTATAAGATTGATGTAAGGCCGGGATGGTATAAGATTGATATCACACCAGGATGGTATAAGATTGATGTAAGGCCGGGATGGTATAAGATTGATATCACACCAGGATGGTATAAGACTGATGTAAGGCCGGGATGGTATAAGATTGATATCACACCAGGATGGTATAAGATTGATGTAATGCCGGGATGGTATAACATTGATATCCCACCAGGATGGTATAAGATTGATGTAAGGCCGGGATGGTATAAGATTGATATCACACCAGGATGGTATAAGAATGATATCACACCAGGATGGTATAAGTTAGACTTTGTTACTTGTATGTTTTTAAGATTGCATGTGAACTATATTCTGTAAACTTATTGTTGTGTGAAATAAAATCATTAAAAAAGGATGGTATAAGATAGATGTAATGCCGGATGGTATAAGACTGATATAATACTGGGACTGAATATGATTGATATAACACCGGGATGGAATATAGGCCAATATCCTGAGAGAAGTACAGCACACAATGACAACATCAAATACAGTCAGAGAAATAAATCCTTCAAGACCTGAGAAACTGCTAACAGCACACAGGAGTGAAAGACTGAGGGGGTCTACTATAACAGTTCAATGTTTAAACTGTGATATGTAAAATGTCAGTTGACACAAAATACCTGCAACTTCAGATCACAAGGTGGCATATAGAATTAATCTGACATAGTATTTACCATGCCATGTTCCATAGGGTGGGCTGATAAACAGATGGGGTGGGCTGATAAACAGATGGGGTTGGCTGGGTCATTAACAGATGGGGTTGGCTGATAAACAGATGGGATGGGCTGGCTGATAAACAGATGGGGTGGGCTGACAAACAGATGGGGTGGGCTGGGTCAAAACAGATGGGGTTGGCTGGGTCATAAACAGATGGGACGGGCTGGCTGATAAATAGATGGGCTGGCTGATAAACAGATGGGATGGGCTGGCTGATAAACAGATGAGGTGCGCTGATAAACAGATGGGCTGGGCTTGGTCATAAACAATGATAAACAGTTTGGGTGCGCTGATAAACAGATGGGCTGGGCTGGGTCATAAACAATGATAAACAGTTTGGGTGAGCTGATAAACAGATGGGCTGGGCTGGGTCATAAACAATGATAAACAGTTTGGGTGGTCATATACAGATGGGATGGGCTGGATAAAAAAAGATGGGGTGGGCTGGGTCATTAACAGACAGGGTGGCGTGGGTCATAAAAATTTGGGGTGGCATGGGTCATAAAAATTTGGGGTGGCGTGGGTCATAAACAGATGGGGTTGGCTGGGTCAAAAACAGATGGGGTGGGCTGACTGATAAACAGATGGGGTGGAATCACAGCCCTGTTCTCAGGTCTTGAGGGAGCAAGTGATGAGGCATTAGTCAGGCAGTATTAATGGAGTCAGTAGTCTCAGCAAAGATGCACCAGCTGATTACCTGTCATTGGTATCTATGTCGCTGAAATAAACATACACAGATCTCAGCTAAAGAATGCAGCAAACATCCAGTCACCTCACAGACCTGGTCACATCAGTAAACACGGAACAGTTAAGTTAAAACACTGGCAATTATAACCATTCCATCTGTCTTCGGTCAATAATTTTCCAGATATCACTATCAAATTTTTCTGAATTTGGTATTAATTTCTGTATACATAATAATGAGTCTCAAAAACATCTTCTATTTCAGAATCCCTTAAAATGATATTAAGCCTTCATCCGATACTGCGAAACAAGTTTAAAAAGAGAACACTTGACATAAAGAGCTGAACACCATCATGGCCATACAACTACAGTTGTGTGTGACTCGTATTGCTCACACTGAAGTGAAAACACACTACATACACACACATCCTCACATCGGCCTACCACTTTTAAAAAACAAAACATGAAAACATAATTAATAAGTTGTACAGAACCCTAAGGGATCACTGTTTTCATGGAATTAAAAGATCTGTGTATTTTCCCCCGTTTCTTGTACAACTCTGGAACAATGTTCTGTGAGGCAACTGCCAGTGGAACACAGTCTATATCAGCATGGGTGTTGCTTATAAGTCAACAATCTCTACACAACTCTATACAGAAAACAACAGCAGAAAACATCAAGTCTTGTTGTAATTCAACATATATGTTATATTTAGGATTACACTTTGTTAGTAAAGTACAAATTCTAGCAATTTGGGGTTGCCATCCGGGATTCAAACCACAATGTTGTAATTGTTGAATGGATCAGAGTCTAAATTCATAACTTAAACTTTCGTAGTTGTGTGACTCATTCTTCCATCACTTGGTGTTTTCCTTGTAACCATGGTAACCCAGGAGACAACAATACCATAACAAAGGAAGAATTGAAATGAAAACAAAGTGATGTATGTCACGACACAATATCAACTGGTGTCAGGAAGAGCAAACAAAAGTAAATGGTCAAACAAAGTTGGCATCACGGTCCTTAATGTAAATTTGGCAAATATTCAAGCTAACAATTTTAAATATGATTTATCATTATCATCCCGAAGACGCATAATTATTTTAATTTAAAATAAATACACAGAGCGATATAGAGTTGTTTCTGGAAGACGTTTTCTCGTGTATCTACGTACACCGATTCCAGATTCCTTATGGAAGCCCTGACATGCCAACCCTGCTTGATACAAACCAAAGAGCGTTGACGACGGACGAGACACCATCACCACAGGGTGCATTAACTGTGTCACTTACTTTACGGTGTTGTGGCCAATCGCGGACACCAGTTTGGGTTTCTCTGGTTCGCCATACCTGCTCAACTCCGGATAGGATGACGATGATGAGAGGACTCGGCCACGAGGCTGTGGAATGCCGTCACTGCGCCTCATCACCACACCTGCTATACTCGTCTCCTCCTTCCACTTCTCCTCTTCAATGTTGCGGATGATGTCGGTGTCGCTTGACGCTCGATGACAGCCCAGATTGGACTTCACGGAGGTACTTATATCTAAATGCTCATCCGATAAATGTATTTTCTCACCCGGATTGGATTTTGCATATTCTTCTTTGAGAAGTTCAAGGATTGATATCTTACTGCTATTGCAGGTCTCAGACATAACTGATGCAGTGTCGCCATCATCTACAATGATGACGGACGTGACGTCACTTTTCATGTTCAAACCACTATCTTTAGACACAGTCGATGCAGTCTCGACCACAGTGGCGCCATCTTGTAACGAGATTTCACTTCCTAAGGCACTATCCACACCGCTGGTGACGAGAGCCGTCTGCTGTACGCTTAAGGCGGCAGACGCAGGTTCTGTCTTCGACACATCCACATCTCCCTTGGCACCACAATTAGATTCCATGAATTCATCGTAACCATTAGCAACATTGGTATCACTGTCTTGTTTGTCCTCGTTATCAGAACTTACAGAAACTTTCTCTTCCCTCTCGCCCAAAGCCTGACTTATTCCTTCAGCTAAACTGTCATAACATGTTTTATCAAAATCTAAAGTTTGTCGAACTGACTTCGCTGAGGTACCTGGTGAATTAGATGAGTGACCTTTTGACCCCTGTGTCTCAGTTGACTTGGAACCATTAGCACTATCACTAGCAGAACTGGATTTATCTTGTTTTGGTAAGTTTTGGCCGGATTGATCTGGAATGGGAGCAGTGTGAGATCTGTGTGCCTTGAACACCGAGCGAGCATGGTTGGAGTCATGTGCATTTCCATTCTTAAGAGATAAATTGTGTTTAAGTGTTTCGAGCGTGTCACCCCTATGTTTAGATAAATCAGTCAAGTCAGGTAGCGAGTTAACACTTGTCCTACTCCAGCAGGACCGTACAAACAATGAAGGCATGGACACCGAATTGAACGAGTAGGTCGATGGACTCGCCAGATTCGGCTGGGACAACCCAGTGGCTGGACTGAGCGTGCCCAGTTGAACCCCAACTGAGTCCAACTCGAACGGCTCTTTCTTCCGATACCCAACTAATGTCACACCTTGAGCGTCTTTGTTTGGCGTTGCCACAGCGCCCTTAGCATCACCGTGGACATTCAGCTCGGCCTCGCTGCAGGAGTACGAAGAAGGCCTCCGGAAAGCTTCAGGTTTGATATTTTTGATGAACTTTTTCCGTGACTTGACCCACACCTTATTGGGGGAGGTGCCTTGATCACTGGTCTGAGAATTCACGGTGGAACTCGAATCAGACTTGCTGACTTTTTCTTTCTCCTTCTCTTCCTCTGTTTTCTGACGGATAATACTACTCTTCCTCTTTGCCAGCTCTGTGAGGAAACAGCATGTTAGTAAAGGTAACACATTCTATGAGATTAAATGCTAAGAATAATGAAAACTGGTTTACCAGCGACTGAATGAATTCAGTTTCGTACCCTGCAACAGGCCAGCTATTGTCTCAAGCAACGTCATCTATCATATCCGACAACCAAGTGGCTGTCAGTTGTCAATATATGTATATATCCATAAATTCTCTTCCTGAACTCTGGCTGAGTACTCAACTGGGGAATCTCTAGAGCATTTAAATCAAAGATTCATATCCTCTTATAAGGTCAACTATTTTCTGTTCAATATTGAGAAAAGAAATACTTTTTAAAATCCAGTTTTCATGGTTCAGTATGGTTGGGATCTACAGCTGCAGCTGTAGCTGGGCCGATCAGTGTTACCATGGTTACCATATGAGTTCTGCCACTGGTCATGGTAGATGTCCTCGAAGATGATGGGCAAGGAGTTGAAGTCACCATCAAGGTCTGTACATTCCACGGGCAGGGATGGAATGCTTTGGAAATACACGGAGTTCTTGACAAGGCTGGCAAGGTCAGCATGGCCATGGATGCTGCAGTGATACGTGAGAAGATACAGGCAACTCCATAACACTTGTCCACCCCACCCCAGACAGAAAGATAACTCCTCACCCCTACCACAGAGAGACAGGCAACTCCACATCACTTGTCCACCCCACCCCAGAGAGACAGATAACTCCTCACCCCTACCACAGAGAGACAAGCAACTCCACAACACTTGTCCACCCCACCCCAGACAGACAGATAACTCCTCACCCCTACCACAGAGAGACAGATAACTCCACACCCCTACCACAGACAGGCAGCAGCTCTACATCCCTACCCCAGACAGGCAGCAGCTCTACATCCCTACCCCAGACAGGCAGCAGCTCTACATCCCTACCCCAGACAGGCAGGCAGCTCTACATCCCTACCCCAGACAGGCAGCAGCTCTACATCCCTACCCCAGACAGGCAGCAGCTCTACATCCCTACCCCAGACAGACAGGCCACTCTACATCCCTACCCCAGACAGGCAGCAGCTCTACATCCCTACCCCAGACAGGCAGCAGCTCTACATCCCTACCCCAGACAGGCAGCAGCTCTACATCCCTACCCCAGACAGGCAGGCCACTCTACATCCCTACCCCAGACAGGCAGCAGCTCTACATCCCTACCCCAGACAGGCAGGCAGCTCTACATCCCTACCCCAGACAGGCAGGCAGCTCTACATCCCTACCCCAGACAGGCAGCAGCTCTACATCCCTACCCCAGACAGGCAGGCCACTCTACATCCCTACCCCAGACAGACAGGCCACTCTACATCCCTACCCCAGACAGGCAGCAGCTCTACATCCCTACCCCAGACAGGCAGGCCACTCTACATCCCTACCCCGGACAGACATGCAATTCTACATCCCTACCCCGGACAGGCAGGCAGCTCTACATCCCTACCCCAGACAGGCAGGCAGCTCTACATCCCTACCCCGGACAGACATGCAATTCTACATCCCTACCCCGGACAGACAGGCTTCTCTACATCCCTACCCCAGAGAACCTGAAGACAGGCAACTTCACACGCCTACCCCAGACAGACAGGCATTATTTACAGACCGCCATCATATAGCTGGAATATTGCTGTGTGCTGCGTTAAACGAAACAAACAAACAAAATGCTGTGTTCACCTAACCTTGGTTCGTAGCAGGACAGGCATGTGATCTTCGGATACTCAAATGTGAAGAAGGCCTCTGCAAACCTCTTCACCTACAATGTCAAACAGTGTTCTCAATGATGACATTAGGGGAATTAGGAGCTGTCCTATGACTGGTAGAAAGAAGTAGAAATCTGTGAGTCAATCAAATTTCAATGAACTCTCTAGTTACAATGTTACAATCATGTAAACGCGATGGATGGTCAGATGAGGATATATGTTTTACACAGTGTGATGCCCCCCCCCCCCCCCCCCCCGGTGTGTTGCCCCTCCCCCTACTTCCCCTGGCTGTGTGATGCCCCCCTCCCCCGGCTGTGTGATGCCCCCCTCTCCTGGCTGTGTGATGCCCCCCTCTGGTGTGTTGCCCCTCCCCCTACTTCCCCTGGCTGTGTGATGCCCCCCTCCCCCGGCTGTGTGATGCCCCCCTCTCCTGGCTGTGTGATGCCCCCCTCTGGTGTGTTGCCCCTCCCCCTACTTCCCTTGGCTGTGTGATGCCCCCCTCCCCCGGCTGTGTGATGCCCCCCTCTCCTGGCTGTGTGATGCCCCCCTCCCCCTGGTGTGTTGCCCCTCCCCCTACTTCCCCTGGCTGTGTGATGCCCCCCTCTCCTGGCTGTGTGATGCCCCCCTCTCCTGGCTGTGTGATGCCCCCCTCCCCCGGCTGTGTGATGCCCCCCTCTCCTGGCTGTGTGATGCCCCCCTCCCCTGGCTGTGTGATGCCCCCCTCCCCTGGCTGTGTGATGCCCCCCTCTCCTGGCTGTGTGATGCCCCCCTCCCCCTGGTGTGTTGCCCCTCCCCCTACTTCCCCTGGCTGTGTGATGCCCCCCTCCCCCGGCTGTGTGATGCCCCCCTCTCCTGGCTGTGTGATGCCCCCCTCTGGTGTGGTGCCCCTCCCCCTACTTCCCCTGGCTGTGTGATGCCCCCCTCCCCCGGCTGTGTGATGCCCCCCTCTCCTGGCTGTGTGATGCCCCCCTCCCCCGGCTATGTGATGCCCCCTCTCCTGGCTGTGTGATGCCCCCCTCCCCTGGCTGTGTGATGCCCCCCTCTCCTGGCTGTGTGATGCCCCCCTCCCCCTGGTGTGTTGCCCCTCCCCCTACTTCCCCTGGCTGTGTGATGCCCCCTCTCCTGGCTGTGTGATGCCCCCCTCCCCCTGGTGTGTTGCCCCTCCCCCTACTTCCCCTGGCTGTGTGATGCCCCCCTCCCCCGGCTGTGTGATGCCCCCCTCTCCTGGCTGTGTGATGCCCCCCTCTCCCGGCTGTGTGATGCCCCCCTCCCCCTGGTGTGTTGCCCCTCCCCCTACTTCCCCTGGCTGTGTGATGCCCCCTCTCCTGGCTGTGTGATGCCCCCCTCCCCCTGGTGTGTTGCCCCCCTCCCCCTGGTGTGTTGCCCCTCTCCCCCTGGTGTGTTGCCCCCCTCCCCCTGGTGTGTTGCCCCTCTCCCTACTTCCCCTGGCTTTGTGATGCCCCCCTCTCCCGGCTGTGTGATGCCCCCTTCCCCCTGGTGTGTTGCCCCCCTCCCCTGGCTGTGTGATGCCCCTCCCCCTACTTCCCCTGGCTGTGTGATGCCCCCCTCTCCCGGCTGTGTGATGCCCCCCTCCCCCTGGTGTGTTGCCCCCCTCCCCCTGGTGTGTTGCCCCTCCCCCTACTTCCCCTGGCTGTGTGATGCCCCCCTCTCCTGGCTGTGTGATGCCCCCCTCCCCCGGCTGTGTGATGCCCCCCTCCCCCTGGTGTGTTGCCCCTCCCCCTACTTACCCAGGCTGTGTGATGCCCCCCTCTCCTGGCTGTGTGATGCCCCCCTCTCCCGGCTGTGTGATGCCCCCCTCCCCCTGGTGTGTTGCCCTTCCCCCTACTTACCCAGGCTGTGTGATGCTCCTCCCCCCACTCACCCTGGCAGTGTGATGCTCCTCCCCCCACTCACCCTGGCTGTGTGATGCTCCTCCCCCCACTCACCCTGGCAGTGTGATGCTCCTCCCCCCACTCACCCTGGCTGTGTGATGCTCCTCCCCCCACTCACCCTGGCAGTGTGATGCTCCTCCCCTCACTCACCCTGGCTGTGTGATGCTCCTGGGCGAGGTACTCCTGGATCTGGGGCCTCAGGGTGACCACTTCCAGGAACTGGTTCCACAAGATGACATTCTCGGCACACAGCTGGGTGATGTCCGTGATGACTGTTTGTAGCATGTCATCCTCGTCGTCCAGGTGCTGACATCATAGGTCACATATATTTATACAGGTCATTGGAGTAGGCAGTGCTCCCAATGGCTTTTGAAACTGCCAGTCCTGTTGGGACTCTAAAAATTACCAGTCCCCCCAAACTTTTGTCAGTCTTTCAACAAACAAAAACACGTATGAAAGTTACCTTATTATAATTCTTTACTCAACATCACCTTCGGTTGCAAGGACGTCATCTCTGAAGTAACTTTGACTTACAAGTCATTCACACAAAGATCAGTCACAATTTTCTCTTTTTAAAAAAAATATTTCAAGACTAAGTCGCTACAAATATGTATTTAACCTCAAAGCAAAGCAAAATGTTATTTCCTTGCACAAAAAATAGAGGGAAAACCCTGATGTTAACAGACAAGATGACTTTGTTAAAAAAATATATTATTTTAATATCGCCAATGTTTTGTTCAACAACAAAAATATATATAAGGTACTATATTTGCTAGTCCACAGGGACTGGTGTTCATAAGAAATACTGGTCCAAGCCTAATTTTACTGGTAAAAAACTGGTAATTACCGGTAAACAGGAACACTGGTAGGTCACATGCACACGTCCCATGAGTAACACATATTTACATCTGTCTTTTACTTACTCACTCACTCACTCACTCTGAACCAGGGTGGAGCAATGAGCACTTGTGGCTCATTTTAAGAGCATGGACTCAGGCACAGAAGGTACATTAACCCTGTCTTTCCAGGAACACTCACCAAAATATTGATGAGGACTTTTTCTAATCTGGCGTGACAATCTTTAGGTTCTGAAAGAGGAAACATATTTTCTAGTTTTCATGAAATACATTTGGAATAACTGGCAACACATAGTTTCTAGCAGGGACGTCTTGGACTGGTAATCTAAAGCCGATATAGCAAATGACAAGCAATAGTATTCTTCTTTTAATCGTTTGGTCTTTTCAGCGCTGTTACAACCACCTGTTTCAAGTACAGTAAACTATGATTATAACGAACACGTTTTAACAAACTGACAGATAAAATGAACCATATATTTGTAAATATGCTTCATAGGAACTATGGTTTTAACAAACTAAAATAAGTGGTCCCTTTGAGTTTGTAGGAAAAGTCTGTACAAAGGTAAACATCAACATGCTGGAACAAGTAACAAAATGTTGCAGCATGAGACTGGGGGCGGTGTTACCTAGTTTGAAGTTGGTGGAAGCCGGCAGTTTGTTGATGTACATCATGAGGTGAGCCTGGAGGCTCTCGTAGGAGGACAGGAGGATGTTACAGATGAGTTTGTGGGTCAGATGGGCCTGTTGCTTCCTCGTCACGTTCGGGGACGGTGCCTGGATGGAGTCGACACATTATTGAAGAGAACTATCATGTTATACATGGCAGACCTTACATCCATCTTTGACTTCTTCATGACGCAGGCAAGTTTCATTATTCAAATTATGACCTCCAAGACAATACTTATCCTTGACATAGTCTTCCTGCACATACATTCATCAAGTGGGATAATATGAAAATCACCAATATCTTAGCCAACTGAAATTGTTGATATTGTATGCATCTTTCTGCTGTTATTTCCTATGTGTGTAGACATTGCTTGTATCACCTACCCCTGTGGGCGGTCGCTGACCGAAGTACACTGCCTCCAGGGTAGACTGGTCAGCACACTTGTTGGCCCATGCCGTCTTGGGGGGTCGAGGCATGCTGGGAAATATAGTACTGTTAATTAAGTGTCTGATGCATAATTATATAACCTGTTATAACCTACTTGACATATGGCTACATAACCTATTATACACCTACATGAGATATGGCTATATAACCTGTTATACACCTACTTGAGATATGGCTATATGACCTGTTATACACCTACATGAGATATGGCTATATAACCTGTTATACACCTACTTGAGAAATGGCTATATGACCTGTTATACACCTACTCGAGATATGGCTATATGACCTGTTATACACCTACTTGAGATATGGCTGATGTATAGCGATGAGGGTTCCATGGATGCTGACCTCGACGGTGGACAGATGGAAGTAGTCAAACAGGATGGGGACGTGGTGGTGCACACCCTTGGTGGGCTGGAAGTGAAGCTGCAGGGTGCGGACACTCACACACTCCATCTTCTCCTGCAGCACCGACCTGCATCACACCATGGCAACACTCACACAAGTGCACATTGACAAATATATTTCCAATAAAAACGAGAGCCACACGGTTCTGTAGTTCACCTGATGTATCAGCTTGATTACACTTCAGCCTCATTTGGTACAAACATTTACTGTACAAACATCTAATCCTGGTGCGAAAGTTTCAGCAAAAAATATCTAAAATTATTTTTGCAACATCGTTTACAACGATATTGACTGCTTAATGATGCCTCAAACAAATATGGATCTTCTTTTGTCATGACATTCACACAAATCCTAAGCACTGGTCTTGTGGTTCTTTAGAATATGATCAGTGAACTTTATGTTAAATTGAATTTAAAAAAAAGAAAAACCCCGAAGAAATCACATTGATTTGAACAAGATAAGATGTCTTCATAATGCCAGTGAGAGAGGAGAAGGTATTTAAGATTAAGATTAAAACTGCACAGCTCTTTCAACTGCCAAGGTCAATGGGGTCACAGGGTCATGTACTTTTTAAGTAGTCTGACACAGGAAACAGACCCCTCTTTGGGTGCTGAAGGTCACTAGCCCGGTCTCAGAAACAGTTTTCCAATTCTGCATCTACATTGATTATTATGACCCATGACAGCATGTTCAACCTGGTGACAAGAACAATTATGCTGCAAGTTAACAGTCTCGCAAACAATGGAACATGACCATTTGGACAACAATAACCTTTGCAATATTTGAAATCAGATCGAAATACTGTGAGCAAAGTTTAGAGACACCATAGCCGAGATCATTTATCCAAAATTTCAGCTCCATAGGCCTCAGGTCAAAAACGCAAACATTAACGACGGAAAATGGACAAAGCGCCACGACATATACCCACTTGACTTTCAGCAAGAGGAACTAAAAATATGTGAGTCAGCGATTGAAATAAAATTAGGTACAAAATCACATTATTTCATACTAGTCTCTAAAAGATATGGTTAGAAGCGCGAAACAACATAAACGAACATGATGAAAGAAACATGCCACCTGGGAGAGTGACTTGAATCAGCAATCTACCTTGAATCAGGTTTTATTGATGAGTGTCTCAGTCAGTGGTATTCCACCTATAACTATCAGAGGCTGGACTAGACAAACCAGTGATTGATACTATGAGCAACAGCCCTCATCATCCGGGTACAAGGACACACACTAAACCAAGTCCCCAAGGCGTGAAAACCCTATCCATTTAAGTTGCCTCTTATGACAAGCAGAGGTTACTTAGGATCAGTTCTACCCTGAAATCCCATCAGAGTGAGTTGTTACTGTTCCACCTTCTAACTTGCTTACAGTAGTGTAGACCCGCGAAGATCCGGGGTAGAATAGGTCTTAAGCAACCCATGCCTGCTGTAAAAGGCGACTGTGCTTGTCGTATGAGAGGACTTATGAGATCGGGTGATCAGACTCGCTGACTTGGTTGATGCATGTCATCGTAACCCAATGCCATGGATCGATACTCATGATATCAATCATGGGATTGTCTGGTACACACTCGATTATTTACAGACCACCGTCATTTAGCTGGAATATTGCTGAGTGCTGTGTTAAGCAACAAACAAACAACCATCCACGGAGACTCACCCGTTTTCCTCGTCCCCGAACCACAGCTCCACAGCCAGCTGCAGATCCAACCTCTCCAAGCTGTCCAGCAGCTGCAACATGGGTGAGTGAGGGAGTCTTGTTATCAGTGTTTCAAATAATTTTAAGACCCAAGTCGGGCAGGTGATTCATAAGGGTTGCCTGCCCATCTTCTAATTTACCAGCCAGCATTCAGGCATAATAAACATTGAAAAATCACAAAAACTAAGAGACAAATCACATCTTGTTGAAGTAAGGAAAACTGGAGAATCCACGAGTTATAATAAAACTGAATACGTACATCTTAAAATTATCTGCCAGTCGGGCAGGTAGAGCAAAGATTTCATGCAGCCCGACAGAAAAGTTACCAGCCATGGGCAGGTGGGCAGGCAGCTATTTCGGACACTGCTTGTAATAAACCACAGTCAGCAATATTCTTCTTACCATATCTCCACTATTAACAGCCCAGGCCTGATTGACTTCTTTTATCTTTCAGACCTGGTCCACCTCAGGACCAGCCCTTATTGTTTTTGTATCTCTTGCTGAGACAGGACTCCATGGTATGGTAAAGTTTATGGTATTCAAATGTAATGGAGTAAAAACCGTTGTTGTAGCCATATTGGAGCCAGCATGTTTTAAAATCTTGTCCCAAAGCTTGGCATATAACAACAGTTCAGTGGAAATACGGTATATAACAGCACTCTAGAGGAAATACGACCTAGAGGAAATATGATAGTGACAACTAGTGTATGTATCATACCTTGGTTTCGTCACCATATCGCTGGAATATTGCCGATGTGACATTAGACTTTAACTCACTCAAACCTGACCTTGGTACTGTCAACTAGTGTTTGTATCATACCTTGGTACTGTCAACTAATGTGTGTATCCGGTACAAGAACACATCATTGACAGGGAGGTCCTCGTTGCGGTACAGAATCTGGAACGTCTTGCTGACTGCAACATCATTGATGATAGTGGCGGACAGACTCTGGTTACCTCCTGCAGAAAAAGTTGAACTTTACATGACACATATACTTCCACTTGTCATGACACATATACTCCCACTTGTCATGACACATATACTCCACTTGTCATGACACATATACTCCCACTTGTCATGACACATATACTCCCACTTGTCATGACACATATACTCCCACTTGTCATGACACATATACTCCACTTGTCATGACACATACACTCCCACTTGTCATGACAATATACTCCCAGTTGTCATGACAATATCCTCCACTTGTCATGACACATATACTCCCACTTGTCATGACAATGTACTCCCAGTTGTCATGACAATATTCTCCCACTTGTCATGACAATATTCTCCCACTTGTCATGACACATATACTCCACTTGTCATGACACATACACTCCCACTTGTCATGACACATATACTCCCACTTGTCATGACAATATACTCCCAGTTGTCATGACAATATACTCCACTTGTCATGGCACAAATACTTCCACTTGTCATGACACATATACTCCCAGTTGTCATGACACAAATACTTCCACTTGTCATGACACATATTCTCCAACTTTTCATGACAATATACTCCCAGTTGTCATGACACATATACTCCACTTGTCATGACACATACACTCCCACTTATCATGACACAAATACTTCCACTTGTCATGACACATATTCTCCAACTTTTCATGACAATATACTCCCAGTTGTCATGACACATATACTCCACTTGTCATGACACATACACTCCCACTTATCATGACACAAATACTTCCACTTGTCATGACACATATTCTCCAACTTTTCATGACAATATACTCCAAGTTGTCATGACACATATACTCCACTTGTCATGACACATATACTCCCACTTGTCATGACACATAAACTCTCACTTGTCATGACAATATACTTCCACTTGTCATGACACATATACTTCCACTTGTCATGACAATATACTCCCAGTTGTCATGACAATATACTCCACTTGTCATGACACAAATACTTCCACTTGTCATGACAATATACTCCCAGTTGTCATGACACATATACTCCCACTTGTCATGACACATATACTTCCACTTGTCATGACACATATACTCCCACTTGTCATGACACATATAACTCCCACTTGTCATGACACATATACTCCACTTGTCATGACACATATACTCCAACTTGTCATGACACACATACTCCCACTTGTCATGACACATATAACTCCCACTTGTCATGACACATATACTTCCACTTCTCATGACACATACACTCCCACTTGTCATGACACATATACTTCCACTTGTCATGACATATACTGTATATAGCTGCCTATAAAGGAAAAGAATACACGCTGGTCAAGAAACAAAAATGGCGCTTTGCGAAACGAACAGTCTCGATTGAAGAGTTAAATGAGAAATTTACAGTTTAACGAAATGTTTTAAGAAAATAACAAACAGCAAGAAGCAATATCAACCTCATTGCCTTCTCAGTGTGGAACTAACGTAAAAAGGGAGTCAACAGTTTGTGTACGGGCTAGATTATTTGGGAACTTATTTCATCAAAATACACAGTTGTTCCACCTGATATTGTTTTTTGAGTCCAACACAGATTAAGCACTGGATTGATAAAGCTCAAAGATATTCTTTTAATAGCTGCAAGGATAAGTGCTGACACAGCTCTCTGGGAAAGGAGTCAGTTTTGTGATATAGCAATTCAGGTTCTGCACTGTGTAATTTGATGAAATGAGTCCCCAAATGAGTTAAGGTGTTGTAATTTTAGACCTGACAATCACTAAAATTTCCCAATATATAAATATTTAATATGCTTCAAAAAGTGGGGAGAATGTCGTGTGTGGTAAGAGCAGGAGGTAAGGGGAGGGGTTTGCTGGATCTGTGCGGGTTAAGAGCAGAGTTACCTCCCCACAGTTGTCTCCCTTTATCATTATCTAGCCTGTACACAAACTGTTGACTCCCTTTTTACGTTAGATCCACACTGACCAGGCAATGGAGTTAATATCCCTTGGTGTATCGTTTCATCCCTAAAAAATATGATTGGCAATGGCTTATCAGGCAGACAAGTGTGTAAGTGCTGAACGACAGAAGGATGAATGAATGAATGGCATATTTGACTAATACAACAGTGACAATGTCAAACTTTAAACAAACTAAACATCTGATGTCGATGCCTTGAACAAATATGAATGTATTTGTGGTCATGGTGTTCCTTGAATGTACAACATCCAGCCACCACATATAGCGACCTAGGCTAAAATGTAATTTACGATTCTGGCTGCCATTGCTTAATTACAGAATCAGGTAAGCTATCAAAGTGCAACTGCATGAAATTTCCACAAAACCTTAAGGTTCTACTATACCAAATCAAAATCAGTCGTTCGACAAACAGTTTTCGTGGAGAGCCTTCAGTGCAGATTGAATCAGCACGCCGATGTGATTGGATGATTTTGTGTAAGATTTTAATGTTTTAATGGTTTTGAAATGTACATCCATCCTGTAATTAAAACTGACCATGTAGAACTGTCTTTCTTAACATGATGACTTACTGTATTTTCTTGCGTGTAGTGCGCACTTTTTTTCCAAAAAACACAGCTGTGTAGAAGGGGGTGCGCATTATACACAAAATAATGAGTTTTGATGTTTTCCGCTTCCCCCCCCATGGAAAGACATTACCGTGAGCACGTAACACCGAAAATACCATGTCAACAAATCCATACTGAAGTATGCAAATTAGTCATGTAACTACTGTACACTGTCTGGCTATAAAAAGTGTTCTTTGTATATCTGGACTTATGTTTGTAACTTATTTCATTAATTTTATTCAAAATTCCTTTTAATATTGTTTTAATTAATTTCGGCGAAATTGTGTGTGAAGCAATCGGAAGACTCACTGTTATTAACAGCAACCACGGTCAGATTACCGCTATTGACGCCTTAAAACGAACTTTAGTTGACAGAGAATGGATACATGTAACATAAATGCCGTACTCTGACTCGTTAAAAGTCATATTTGTTATAGTTTGACGATTCTATGTCAACACGTAGTTCACACGATCACGCGATCACGTGCGTGGGTAATGTTAATCATTGTTAATCCCTGGATGTAAAACAATACCTAGCAGAACAAAAAATACAATTTAAACGGTAAATCAACATGTCTGGTGATTTTATATCTCAAATTTCGAATTTGTACTGACCAAGTTTCTCATCACCCGTTCTTTTACCGGACTTCTCTGAAGGGGTACGGTGTAATTTTTTCTGCGCTTGATAAGCGAATTTTTATTTATTCAAAATACTGAATCTGCTAGAGGGGGTGCGCATTATACATGGGTGCGCACTATACTCAAGAAAATACGGTATGCTGAATGTGACAATTTTCAAAGTGACATTTGGTGCAGAACTGGGGGTGGTGTGTTTAGCTTCCTGTACTCGGAAAAGGAGTTGGCTAAGCCAGTCATTTTGTTTTTTTATTGCTGCTTTAAGCATGTTCAGGCCAGACTGTGCACACATGTACAGGTACAGCTGTTGAATTCCTAGTTATTTTAAAAAAACCATATAATGTTACTATAGACGTCTATGGGAAACATTTGGTTGTGTGTATCCTTAATGCAGCCGTGCCACTAAATGCAATATATATAACCTTGGTGTATCAGCCTGGGCAATGACCTGATGCTGGTGGAGAACACAGCCAGACCTGCAGCTCAACTGCAACCTGACACTGGATTGTCTGCAGGCGCTAGCCTTGCTCCAAGGCTACCTGAAAGAAAAGTCCATGGATGTGTTGTCATTCTATCCTCCTAATAGGCAAGTCTAGATATGTGGACAGTACTCTGAGTCTCTTATAGGGACAGTGTGTTCTTATTATTTACATATTGTCAGCGTATCAATATTTACATCTAGAAATATTATGATTTAAACTAATAATTATCGTGCAAGTCTATGCAAGTGGGCATAGCATCCTATCCCACAGGATTCATCACACAGAGCTTTACAACTCCTAGACTTGCACAAGTCTCTAAGGCAATGATTATGAGTTTCAATCATAATTTCTAGATTATATAAATAATAAGAATAAGTTGTCCCTATGTATAAGAGATGGGAGACTTGTACTGTCCACATATCGATACTTGCATATAGGAGGGGAGAATTACTGCACATCCATGGACTTTCAGTACAGCCATGGAGCAAGGCTATACAACTCCCAACACCAACCTTGGCTGGCTGGAGACTTGGTGATGCTCACTTCCGTCTTGGCAGGGGCTTTTGGTGGCGTCTTCAGGGCACATCTTACTTGATAATAGCTGAAACAGGCACATATGTCTAGGTGATAACGGTTGAAACAGTACTATATGTCTAGGTGATATTTCTATTGCTGGAATCACCAATAATATTACCATTGCTGGAATACCCAATGATATTATTACTATTGCAGTGATTTTGTTTGTTTGTTGTTTAACGCAGCACTCAGCACTATTCCAGCTATATGTTGGCGGTCTGTCAATAATCGAGTCTGGACCAAACAATCTAATGATCGACATCATGAGCATCGATCCACGCAATTGGGGTACCATGACATGCACCAGCCAAGTCAGCGAGCCTGACAACCCGATCCTGTTAGTCGCCTCTTACGATAAGCATAGTCGCCTTTTATGGCAAGCAAGAGTTGCTGAAGATCTATTCTGCCCCGGATCTTCACGGGTATACTTGCCTTTACTACTTGGGGCAGCAACATAAAGTCTTAGTTTCATAGATGTGTTGTCAAAGGACATAAAAAATGAAAGGACATAAAAAATGAAAACCTTTTCAACAGGCCCATGAAATAACCTAACATGATCCATACTTCCGGTGAGCTAAGAACAATGTTGGGCACTGGATAAGCGTATCCATAATACACGAGCAGTGTTTTCCATGATGCAGAACACCCGTGAAGATTCCGGGGTAGAATAGGTCTTCAGCAACCCATGCTTGCCGTAAAAGGTGACTATGCTTGTCGTAAAAGGCGACTAACAGGATTGGGTGGTCAGGCTTGCTGACTTGGTTGATGCATGTCATCGTTCCCAATTGCATGGATCGATGCTCATGATATCAATCACTGGATTGTCTGGTCCAGATTCGAATATTTACAGACTGCAGTCATAAAGCTCGAATATTGCTGAGTGCGGCGTTAAACAACAAACCAACCAACCAACATGCCGCAGAAATCTGTGTCTGCTACACAACAATGTATAGGATGCAAAATGAAATATGTTGCATCCCGAGAGACGCACAATAATATTCATTGTATCAAATTATTAACAAGAAATATATCCTGTATTAACATAATTATGTTACCATGCTTACAGTACAGCACACAAGACCATTCCAATACTTTAGAGCATCCTAACGTATCCTGTGAGGACCCTTGACATTAATAATTTGGGGTCCCGGCCCCCCATTTGTAGGTCAAGGTACAACCCTACATGAGCCATGTTTCAGGTGAACTAAGAACAAGGCTGGCCATTAGATCAGCATATCCGTAGTACACATGGGCCATGTTTCAGGTGAGCTAAGAACAAGGCTGGGCATTAGATCAGCATATCCGTAGTACACATGGGCCATGTTTCAGGTGAGCTAAGAACAAGGCTGGGCATTAGATCAGCATATCCGTAGTACACATGAGCCATGTTTCAGGTGAGCTAAGAACAAGGCTGGCCATTAGATCAGCATATCCGTAGTACACATGGGCCATGTTTCAGGTGAGCTAAGAACAAGGCTGGGCATTAGATCAGCATATCCGTAGTACACATGAGCCATGTTTCAGGTGAGCTAAGAACAAGGCTGGCCATTAGATCAGCATATCCGTAGTGCACATGAGCCATGTTTCAGGTGAGCTAAGAACATGCCTGGGCATTAGATCAGCATATCCGTAGTACACATGAGCCATGTTTCAGGTGAGCTAAGAACGAGTCTGGGTATTAGATCAGCATAGCCGTAGTACACATGAGCCATGTTTCAGGTGAGCTAAGAATAATCCTGGCAACTGGATAAGCGTATCAATAGTGTACGAGCCACGTCCCCTTATGCCAGTCACAATGTGACTGTAATCTCAGTTTGATCAACACCTACATCTGGCAATAAGTAGTTCAATATGTTTTAGAAATATCTATAGTCAACACGCCAGCTGTTCCACTATTGGTAAGCAGTGTTCCAACACAGCGCCAATAGACGACAAATCTATACAGCTGTTCGGTAACAGATGACAATTGTTTGCTTGGCTTCAGGTCCATTTGTTTGCTGATGGTTGGTTGAACCCAGTGTTTCTACAATGGTGCAGGGCTGGGTGTTAGCTGGCGGAAAGTCACTTCCCTGACACTAGACAACTGGTGAGTGAGTGAGTGAGTGAGTGAGTGAGTGAGTGAGTGAGTGAGTGAGTGAGTGAGTGAGTGAGTGAGTGAGTGAGTGAGTGAGTGAGTGAGAACCCAGTGTTTCTATAATGGTGCAGGGCTGGGTGTTAGCTGGTGGCAAGTCATTTCCCTGACACTAGAAAGCTGGTGAGTGAGTGAGTGAGTGAGTGAGTGAGTGAGTGAGTGAGTGAGTGAGAACCCAGTGTCTCTACAATGGTGCAGGGCTGGATGTTAGCTGGCGGAAAGTCACTTCCCTGACACTAGACAACTGGTGAGTGAGTGAGTGAGTGAGTGAGTGAGTGAGTGAGTGAGTGAGTGAGTGAGTGAGTGAGTGAGTGAGTGAGTGAGTGAGTGAGAACCCAGTGTTTCTACAATGGTGCTGGGCTGGGTGTATGCCGTGTGTGTTTTGGTGGGTGGGTTTAGCGAGTGGGAATGAGTAAGTGGGTTCATATGATATCCCCCGACTTGCAAACGATTTGCGGAGCGTCCACCTGTGGTACCTGCTGTAGGTGACCCTGTTGTCATGTGGCTAGTCATGCATCATGCCACATGTTGGGGCGGAGACGGTATTGTGGGCTTCGGGTAAACAAGTTAGTAACTTCTACAACTGCGGTTATTACGCCACCTGCTGTAGGTCAATATGGTCTCTTATCTCATTGTAACACATGCAATATCAGCCTTACTTCCTCGGATTCTATTTATACTCACAAGTATTGTGTGCTTTCCTTGTTGCTTACCTGGACCGATAGGCATCAGGGACCAGTCATTTATTGTATATGTTTCGTTGACCTGATTGTAGGCATCAGGGACCAGTCATTTATTGTATATGTGTTGTTGACCTGATTGTAGGCATCAGGGACCAGTCATTTATTGTATATGTGTTGTTGACCTGATTGTAGGCATCAGGGACAAGTCATTTATTGTATATGTGTTGTTGACCTGATTGTAGGCATCAGGGACCAGTCATTTATTGTATATGTGTTGTTGACCTGATTGTAGGCATCAGGGACCAGTCATTTATTGTATATGTGTTGTTGACCTGATTGTAGGCATCTGGGACCAGTCATTTATTGTATATGTGTTGTTGACCTGATTGTAGGCATCAGGGACCAGTCATTCTACATCTTGAAGTTCAGGGAGTCATCTAGGAATGAAAACTAGAAACCCTCTGGCAGGCAAAATGGGGTGTGTGTGTGTGTGTGTGTGTGTGTGTGTGTGTGTGCCTGCCTTAACTTCTTTTGACTAGTATACAAACACATACAACATTTACAGCTTAATGTTGAACTAATGTTGAACTAATGTTCCACAAATATTCCACAATATTCCTTGGACAAAACTGTATCGGGAGTTTCAATTCTTATCTGAATTAAAGCATGATTAATACACCGATGAAATAATGGGTGTGGCCTCATTATGAAATTGATTGACATAATGTACCTAGTAGGTCAAACTTAATATGGCGTCCCCGTCTGACAGGAGCTCAATCTATGTTTGCACAAACAGTATGGACAGCATGGTCTGATATAATGTGCAATGATTGCAATGATTCTATTAGTGTGAGTGGGTGAGTTGGGCGTCCTGCTGAATGGTGAGACCCTGAGCTTGGATATGGCAGATCAACAACCAAAATCAGGGATTCAAACCCATGATAATAGGATCCTGGTATGCCCAAGGGACACAATTATGTACAGGAAGTGCCTTAGCCAACTGGAAAGACAGTGCCCCCCCTTCACAAAGCCAGGTGAGCTAAACCTGGCTTTGTGAAGGGGGCACTGTCTTTCCACTTAACAGGAAAGTCATAATGAAAACGGACTATTATTTTAATTTTAATTATTGATATCTGTATTATTTTCCCGACAACACGCTACATTTTGAGTTCACCATCAAGTATTCAGGGAAGGTATGTCGTAGCACAGTCTGGCCAGAAATGTCAACGGCCCATCCCCCATGCAATTAATTACCTATCCCTAATCTGCTGCATATCTGCGGGACAGAGGGTGTGGCTCTCACCGCCCGTCCTGGGCAGCCATAGATCGGAGCACAGGACTCAAGGGACAGACAGCCTGTAAACACCCATATGGCAACATTCCCTGGATATTATTGGCTTCCTATTGATTCTGTTTTGAGGTAAACAGAACAGCGGGGTCGTCAGTAAATGCCCTGGTGGTATTCATGAAGGAGTATCAACTCATAAGATGACAGCTAATGAGTCCACACTGCATGCAAACTATGGGCTGGTTGATCTCAAGGTTTTGTTTCAGACACTGCCACTGATGGGTGGTGATCACAGACCGACAGCATGGGTGGAGGGAGTGTTGACGGCCAAGGTCGACTCTCACAAGTCACTCAGTGAGTGAGTGAGTGAATTAGGAGACAAGTATTTGTCACAGAGTGACGAAATATCCCCCGCCTGTACACCATAGTACCAAATATGAAGACAATCCAGCGATTAGTTCTTGAGATATTGTGGCAACACCGTTTTCCAACTCCAAAAACAGATTTGCCTGCTGTGACCTTGAAAATGGGGTCAAGGTCACCAAATCTGACAGGTGTATGCGGTGTCTGTATATACACTATAGTTCCAAATATGAAGACAATCCAGCGATTAGTTCTTGTGATATCGCGGCAACACCGTTTTCTAACTCCAAAAGCAGATTTGCCTGCTGTGACCTTGAAAATGGGATCAAGGTCACCAAAACCGACTGGTGTCTGCGGAGTCTGTATATACACCATAGTTCCAAATATGAAGACAATCCAGTGTTTAGTTCTTGAGATATCGCGGCAACAAACAGGTGGGACGTACGGACGTACGGACGTACGGACGTACGTACGGACGGTCGTGAATACTATATCCCCCGCTTCGCGCTTTCGCACGGCGGGGGATAATAACCATACTGTGTATTCAATTTAGAAATGGATTACCTGTAGTTCAACTGTGCTAACTAGAATTTGGAAGGAAGCTGCCAAACAGAATTGAGAATTTTCAAAATGCATGGTAGAATTTTAACACTGTCACGTCATTACATGAGCCTCATGATATGCCACTACACATGGGCCTCATGATATGCCACTACACATGAGCCTCATGATATGCCACTACACATGGGCCTCATGATATGCCACTACACATTGGCCTCAAAACATGCCACTACACACCAGCCTCATGACATGACACTACACATGAGCCTCATGACATGCCACTACACGCCAGCCTCATGACATGACACTACACATGGGCCTCATGATATGCCACTACACATGAGCCTCATGATATGCCACTACACATGGGCCTCATGATATGCCACTACACATGAGCCTCATGATATGCCACTACACATGGGCCTCATGATATGCCACTACACATTGGCCTCAAAACATGCCACTACACACAAGCCTCATGACATGACACTACACATGAGCCTCATGACATGCCACTACACGCCAGCCTCATGACATGACACTACACATGGGCCTCATGACATGCCACTACACACCAGCCTCATGACATGCCACTACACACCAGCCTCATGACATGACACTACACATGGGCCTCATGACATGACACTACACATGAGCCTCATGACATGCCACTACACATCAGCCTTATGACATGCCACCACACATGAGCCTCATGACATGACACTACACATGAGCCTCATGACATAACACTACACATGAGCCTCCTGACATGACACTACACACCAGCCTCATGACATGACACTACACATGGGCCTCATGACATGCCACTACACACCAGCCTCATGACATGACACTACACATGAGCCTCATGACATGCCACTACACATGGGCCTCATGACATGACACTACACATCAGCCTCATGACATGCCACTACACATCAGCCTTATGACATGCCACAACACACATGAGCCTCATGACATGACACTACACACCAGCCTCATGACATGACACTACACATGAGCCTCGTGACATGACACTACACATGAGCCTCGTGACATGACACTTCACATGGGCCTCATGACATGACACCACACATGAGCCTCATGACATGCCACTACACATGGGCCTCATGACATGCCACTACACATGGGCCTCATGACATGCCACTACACATGGGCCTCATGACATGCCACTACACATCAGCCTCATGACATGCCACTACACATCAGCCTCATGACATGCCACTACATATGTAAGTGAGTGAATGAGTGAGTGTGTTGGGTTACATGCAACAATATTACAGCCATATCAAGGTAGGGACAGCAGAAATGGCCTTCACATATGTAGATTTGAACCCATGCCTTCGGCGTTGTGAGTGAATGCTTTAACCAGTAGGCCACCCCACAGTGCATTGCTTATGACAGGCCTAGGTTCCTGGAGATCTGGATCCCCCGGGGCAAGTAGCTCAGACAAGACAAGGCAAAACTTCACACAAGTCCTGGGCAACATGCCCTTAACTGAATCCAAATGGCAGGACCAGGAGTGATAAACATACCTGGTTTAAGTTTTGTCACAAGAGATACAGCTGAGAGTGATTGTGAGCTAAGTGAGTGAGTTGAGTTAAAGACTACTTCATCAGTGTTCCCGTTTACCAGAAATTAGAAGTTTTTTACTGGTAGGCTTGGTCCGGTAATTCATGTCACAGCCAGTCCCTGTGGACCATATTCTCGAGGCAAGGGAGATAACTGACTATGAAAGTCCAGTTTCCACCCTTGCCGAACCAGGCTGGAATTACTGGGCTCGATCGTAGCGCCACCAGTGGCTATTACCAGTTATGTCCCTTCTAAGCTTCTCCTATGGACCAATCAGATTCCACCTCTCGTATCACTTGCGTTTGCTTCACACAAAATGGTGGCGCCCAATCAGGACGATCTGATCGATAATCAAGATCTATATTGGGATAAAACGGGTCTTACATCGTGAAATGCATCAAATCACGTGAGCACCTTGATTAAAAACATGAAAAGATTTGGAAAATATCTGTTGACAACGAGTTGGCGGTGCACATGCTTTGCAAATCTTGCAATCGATCGAAATCTGCATGACAGTTTACGAACCGGATTTCGATTTCGGTGCGAGATTTTGATTGGACTATGCATAAACTCGTTAGTCCAGCCACAATGTAACTCCATAATACCAGCCTAGTTCGGCAAGGGTGGAAACTGGACTTTTATCGTCCGTTAACTCTCTTGCCTCGGGAAGATGCTGTGGACAGGCAAATAAAGTGCCTAAGAAATCATCGGCGGTTATCCTAATTGTATATTTTTCAAACATAAGCATGTCTGTTACCATCTTGTCTATTTTTTGCTTTGAGGTTAAATACATATTTGAAGAGATTTAGCCTCGAAATATTAAAAAAAACAGTGACATTTATTTATTTGTTAAAAGTTGGGACTGACAAAAGTGTGTGGGGACTCATATTTTTTAGAGTTGCCAGTCCATACAGAATACAACCCTGACTGACGTTCTAAGATATGGTAATGATTCCATTAGCCAAATATGGTCATGATTCCATTAGCCAAATATGGTCATAATTCCATTAGCCATCAGCCAAATATGGTCATGATTCCATTAGCCAAATATGGTCATGATTCCGTCAACCAAATATGGTAATGATTCCTTCAGCCAAATATGGTCATGATTCCATCAGCCAAATATGGTCATGATTCCATCAGCCAAATATGGTCATGATTCCATCAGCCAAATATGGTCATGATTCCAAACAAAATGCCAACATGCTCAATTACCAGTGAGGCTATACGCGTGATATACCACAGGGGACCTGTTCCAGGGTAAAAAACATTATATACAACTTTGAATAAAAGGTGGTACTCACCCCCGCTGGAAGAGATCTACATTGTAGAACTTGTTGAGCTCCACCGAGAACTCCAAGGTGGCCTGCAGTTCACACATCGCATCTGGAAGAGTAACATCGGTGCAGTGCATGGTCACAACTTGAACAAGGTCACTTATTCTTAACTTAGAGGTTTGTTCTAAAACTTGTCCAAGACGCCGCACAGCTCAAAGTCAAATACCCATCACCGACACTGTCAAAGGATGTTTCAAAGATGCAGCAAAGCTCACAGTCAAATACCCATCACCGACACTGTCAAAGGATGTTTCAAAGATGCAGCAAAGCTCACAGTCAATTACCTATCAATGACACTGTCAAAGGATGTTTCAAAGATTCAGCAAAGCTCAAAGTCAAATACCCATCACTGACACTGTCAAAGGATGTTTCAAAGATGCAGCAAAGCTCACAGTCGAATACCAATAACAGACACTGTCAAAGGATGTTTCAAAGATGCAGCAAAGCTCACAGTTAAATACCCATCACTGACACTTTCAAAGGATCGGTATCAAAGATGCAGCAGGGCTCACAGTCAAATACCCATGACCAACACTGTCAAAGGATGTTTCAAAGATGCAGCAAAGCTCACAGTCAAATACCAATCAATGACACTGTCAAAGGATGTTTCAAAGATGCAGCAAAGCTCACAGTCAAATACCCATCACCGACACTGTCATAGAGACTTATCATGCATATTGTCAATGAATATGTTTAAAATGTTTACTGTCAATGACCACTAATCCTCAAGTTGGTGAGTTGTGTTCAACATCACTTAGAACACAATCCACACGACCACTGTTCCTCAATTGAGTGAGAGAGTGAGTTTGGTTTAAAATCAGCCCTGTTCAGTAATGTGGTAAGGGTGTCTCCACGACATCCCATAATGACATAACACCTTTGTTTAGGTCGTCTAACATGTATATAAACATACATTGTACACAGTGACATGAGGCTACTCCTGGACAGTCAGGTAGACACCATGCATTGCATCATACGAAAAGTACACACAGTCACTTAAATATTAACACTGAATGTTTTTTATGTAACCATATGGAAGAGTTCAAAGCCAACTGCCATATCCTCTCACACGCTGTGTTCACATCACTCTGGCTGTTATCATGGTTATACCACTTCCGGGGAATACGGCAATCCATGTGCTAAGTGCCACAGTTCCACACTGCCAACTTGCTGCATGGGCACCTTCAGGCCACAGAGCCATCAACTTCCCAGTACAAAGAAATAACGGACTGCCCTCACCAGCTTGTTAGTATTACAGTGTTGGCCTTGTTTTGTATTTCTCTAACACAATGTTTGTGATAATGTAACAGTTGATGTTAGCACATTTCTCAGCATCAAAACTGGATATAATCATAAGCAGCTAGAGACTTTCAGTTGCACATTGGAAACACATAAGAATCTTGATCAAACACTTGATTAAAAATTATTGGATTTCCACAAAATCCAAAATTTAATTCCATGAGACAGTTGTAACCATGGTAACACATGTTGCAATAAGTTGTACATCCCAACATCTTCACATAGCGAGGCTGTCCCTGGACCAACCGGAGGACACCGTGACAGTTGACCACAGGGGTCAGTATGAGTCCGTGACAGATGACCACAAGGGTCAGTATAAGTCCATGACAGATGACCACAGGGGTCAGTATAAGTCCATGACAGATGACCACAGGGGTCAGTATAAGTCCATGACAGATGACCACAGGGGTCAGTATAAGTCTCGTATCACACGGCTACTGATTTCATCTGGCACAATATGTTTCCTCTGACATGAAGGCAGCAGTGTGAATGTCTGTCACAGTCAGGTCATATCATGGCATGAAGTCTGGGGGTTCATGATATTATCAACCATGAAAAGATGAGCATTTTAGCATCACTTGGAAGAACCGACTTGTCAGCATATATTCATATATCACAGGTCAACATCAGTGTTTATCACAAGAACAGTCTGGAAGTACCATTTGTGTCAGGTCTATCTGCTACCATGGTGTTAGGTTACTGTGTACAGTCATTCAACAAGTTCATGTCTGATGGTGCCAACATCTATCCATAGATCACATGGTGAAGTCAGACTGCTCACTTGTATCATGTAAAACACGTTCATGTCTGATGGTGCCAACATCTATCCATAGATCACATGGTGAAGTCAGACTGCTCACTTGTATCATGTAAAACACGTTCATGTCTGATGGTGCCAACATCTATCCATAGATCACATGGTGAAGTCAGACTGCTCACTTGTATCATGTAAAACACGTTCATGTCTGATGGTGCCAACATCTATCCATAGATCACATGGTGAAGTCAGACTGCTCACTTGTATCATGTAAAACACGTTCAAGTCTGTTGGTGCCCCACTGTATCACAGTGCCAAAGGCATGTGTGAGTTGTATGGAACTGTCGGACTTGCCAGTTTGGTTGAAAGATGCTTGTATCACACACTGAGGATCCTTGATGGACCTGAAGCCAGTCTAACCCACTGGACTGACTGCCAGTCCCACATAACTGAGGCAGGCCTGAGACACTGGACCTATATCTGTGGAGGATTGTTACGACCACACCCATCCTTATTGTGAACCAACAACGACAAATACCGACAAAAATCAATCAAGGAAAATCTAGTGCTGTGTTCACCAGTGAGTTGGATACAGGATTTATCTGGAACAATCAATTCCATTTACATGTATCAGGGAGAGTCAGAACTATGTCAGCTAATAAGGATGGTCTTTAATCATGCTGATCACAACACTGGGAAACAAGATAGTTTAAACAATTATATATATTTACACACACACACACGCAAATACACAAATATATATACGAACTAGGGTTCACATAGTTTTCCTGTACATAATCAGTCATCACTGGACAATTATTACAATTTATCAGTATCTAACTTGATGATTGGACCTTGTAATAATAAATGTATGTATCATTGACTGATAAATGTATGTAGTGTTAATATATATTAACACTACATACATTTATTGACCCATGAAGATCCGGGTTAAAATTGGTCTTCAGCAACCCATGCTTGCCGTAAAAGGTGACTATGCTTGTCGGAAGAGGCGACTAATGGGATTGGGTGGTCGGGCTCGCTGACTTGGTTGATGCATGTCATCGTATCTCAATTGCGTAGATTGATGCTTATGATATCAATCCTGGATTGTCTGGTTCAGACTCGATTATTTACAGACCGCCTGGGTGCTGACTGGGTGCTGCTCTGATCGTTGAAACTGTGCAGGGCGTCAAGCATCAGGAACCTGTTTTAACCTCCAGGAAGGGGAATCCCCTAACCATGCTAAGTGGAGGAAATTGTTTATTTGGGGGAAAATTTCATGTGTCGTATTTTTACACTATTTCTGATTTTCAAATTTAATCTTGGTCATACATTTGTTTTTAAGTATGCCTAAAGTATTAAAATCTGCAAAGTTGCTTGTTGCCTTTACCATGTTTACTTGTTCTGTAACATGTTTACATGTTAAACATGGGTTCATAGACTTGCCGGGGGCACAGGTGGCCCAGTCGTCTAAGGCGCCGCGATTCGCTGTTCAGAGTTGCGTCCCTAGGGCACGCCAGAAACCTATGATTGTGGGTTCGAATCCGGTTCGCCCCAATTATGCTTCTAGGTTTGTCAGCACCATACCCGTGCTCGTGGGATTCACCGAAGTGGTAAACGTCTTAAACCTGCATCACTTCTGGCTTTTCTCCCACATTAAGCTGACACGCCGCGATATTACTGGAATACTGTTAAAAGCGGCGTTAAACCCAACTCACTCACTCACTCATAGACTTGCCCATATATTACCTTTTCAAGAATGTTGTACACTGTTGTGAGGAAGGCTTTAAAGGAAGCTGATATGGTCTTGGGAGTCAGTAAACCTCAACTTAAAAAAGGTGGTGGTTGTGATTGAAAAAAATGAAAAAAGAACCCTGTTGGCCTCAACATGGTAAAAGCGGTATTTTCATATTTGGAGAGAAAATTAAAATCCAGATAGTCAACAAACATGACAGAAGTAGAACAAAACCTGGTAAACATGTCCTACTAATTATTGAACACATCCTCACATGCCCTGTTTACAGTCAGCAATATTCCAGAGGGACAAGCATAGGTTTCTAGGGACATATTCTATCATGGAAGCCCCACGGAGAGACAAGCATAGGTTATTGGGGTCGTATTCTATCACGGAATCCCCACAGCGAAAAGCATAGGTTACTGGGGACGTATTCTATCACAGAATCCCCATGGAGAGACAAGCATAGGTTACTGGGGACGTATTCTATCACGAAATCCCCATGGAGAGACAAGCATAGGTTACTGGGGACGTATTCTATCACGGAATCCCCATGGAGAGTCAAGCATAGGTTACTGGGGACGTATTCTATCACAGAATGCCCATGGAGAGAAAAACATAGGTTACTGGGGACGTATTCTATCACAGAATCCCCACAGCGAAAAGCATAGGTTACTGGGGACGTATTCTATCACGGAATCCTCATGGAGAGACAAGCATAGGTTACTGGGGACGTATTCTATCACGGAATCCCCATGGAGAGACAAGCATAGGTTACTGGGGACGTATTCTATCACAGAATCCCCATGGCGAAAAGCATAGGTTACTGGGGACGTATTCTATCACAGAATCCCCATGGAGAGACAAGCATAGGTTACTGGGGACGTATTCTATCACTGAATCCCCATGGAGAAACAAGCATAGGTTACTGGAGACGTATTCTATCACGGAATCCCCATGGAGACACAAGCATAGGTTACTGGGGACGTATTCTATCACAGAATCCCCACAGAGACAAGCATAGGTTACTGGAGACGTATTCTATCACAGAATCCCCATGGAGAGACAAACATAGGTTACTGGGGACGTATTCTATCACAGAATCCCCATGGAGAAACAAGCATAGGTTACTGGAGACGTATTCTATCACAGAATCCCCATGGAGAGACAAGCATAGGTTACTGGGGACGTATTTTAACCTGGAATCCCACAGTACAGAAGAACATCAAAGTACTTGATTTGAATGTGAAACTAA